TTAAATAAAAGGAACTTTCTATACCATGGAATTGCTTTGAACCAAATGTTTTAGACACATGTTTACATAATAAATTATAAAATTGAATATTAATATTACACAAAACATAAGAACTATTTTCTGTGCAAATTAGATAACATTAATTGTATTGAAAATAGTAAGTTTTTGGGGTCTTTCATTAAAATGCTTCCTAGAGCAGTATTAAAATACAACTACTATGGCAGAGTCCTGAAGCAGAAAGAAACAACAAGAAAATAAAATCTGAACAAAAAAAATAACAATGACTATTTTTAAAAAGGAAAATGCAAGGGGGGGGTTAACTTTAATAAAAAATTTTAAATTTATAATTAAAATTAAATTTTTAAAAAAAAAAATATAAAAAGAAATAAACACCTCCATTTTATTTTTTCATTTTTTTTAAGGGGAAAAATTTTCAAATAAGTGGGACATTTTATGCTATTAAATTTTCCCCTTTGGGGTTTTTTAGGGCCCAATATTTTCAAACCCACATTTAATAGATCTTTAACTGTTTAAATTTATGTTATATTTTTTTTTAAAAAGGAAATTTTTCGTGTTTTTTTTTTTTAATTTTCTTACTCATCGGGAAGGGGGGCTCCCTTTTATAGATGAGATTTTCAAAACCCGGGAACACAGTCCCTAAAGGGTAAATTCAAAATCCATTTGTAAAAAATATATGTATAAAACCCGTCATGTACAAAAAATTTCATTTAAAACCATTTCACATCCCAAATTTCCCTTTCCCATAAATTTAAACCCTTATAAAATTATACAGGGGTACCATTGTAGATTTCTGAAATGAACACATATTTTAAACGGGAATCAAAAAGGGGTATGTATAAAAAATATTATAACAGTTTATTATTACTTTTAAATCATTCACCACCCCATATCTTTTAATCAATCATTTTTTTAAATATAATTTTTAAGGGACGAAAAACTGACAAAAAATTTTAAATTTTAAGGGAAATACTAATTTGTTTTTTTCAAGGGAAAAAAAATTTTTAATTTACAAAGCAGGGGTGGTACATTAGAAAATTTACTTTTGGTACATCCCCAAATCAGTTCATATCTGGGTATGAGGGCCATCCCCTTTGAAGTATATATGTAGATCCCATATTTTAGTGGTAATACGGGTGTAGTACTAACTTATTGGTACAAGCAAATTTGGGGTACATTCCCAAATTTTGGGTTTTACTACCATGGGGGGGTTTACTTTTATCCATCTAGAAACCCTTAATTAAGGGTCCCCATAAATTTAATTTTGGGTTACATTCCCCAAATCGGGGTACATACCATATGGTACAAACCCAAATTAAATTAACCATATTTACATAAACTAATCAGGTTCCCAATATCATATGGTACATTACTACCCCAAGGTATATATCATATGTTTACATAACAATCAGGTACACACCAGGGTGGTACTAATTTAATCTGGCATTTAGTAGTACAAAAACTTAAGATACATACGGGTGAAAATTTTATCCCCCCAATCAAAGTACATAAAATTTATGTTACTTTACTTTTTACCTTTCCCGGGATGTAGTGGGATCCCAAAATTCATTGTACATGCTATATGGTAAAATAACTAATCTCTTTAACATAATCAATCGGGTTCCCAAAAAACAAATTTTTTACTAACCTTTGGGAAAGATTTTGACCCATCCAATGAAAAGATTAAAATGACATTGCCCATTATGGAAAACAAGAAAAATTTTTCCCAAAATTGGGAAACAGCAAATTTTAAATTAGAAAAACCCCTAACCCTACAACACAAAATTTGAAAAAATTTTTTAGAGGGGGAAATTTTTCCCTTAAATATTTTTCTCTTGGGTAATTTTGGCCATTTTGAAATTAATAACAAACACAAAGGGGGAATTTCCCAATTTAATTTTGTAAATTTGGGAAAAAAATTTTTCGGGGAATTTTCCCCAAAGGGTCACAGCAGCCTTTTCATCCCTCTTTGGAAATAAAAAAACCAATTAATTTTTTGGGCCACAAAAAAAAGGGGGCTTTCATTTTTAAAAAAAAAACCCTTTTTTTAAAAAATGTAAGAACGGGAGTAGTGCATAACTTTTGTATATATAAACTTTTGTTAATAATAAATTAATTGCATTAATGCCATTATCCAGACAGAGTTCAGAAAAAACACATATTTTCGCGAGGCCTATATTTTGCTTAATCAGAATTTTTGGAATAATTGGTGAGGTTAAATTTTCACATTTTTCTTATTCCATTTCTATTAAATTTATATGATATTTAGAGACTTAGAAAACATTATTTTCATCAAAATTTCCAAGTTGCCAAATATAATGCTTTTGTGAAAATTTCTGATTAAACACTTGAAGAAATAATGGTATAATTATTTGACAGGCTATATGGGCAAGCATGAAAAGTTGTAAGCTGATATAACCTAAGCTGCGAAGGCATAAATTTGACAAAATGCATCACAGAGTTATGTACACTTGCCTATAACTAGAGTAAAAGGTCATCAAAGCAAATAAATGCACCTAAATGAGCTCCTCAAAATAGTGGTGTGGTAAAATTCTCGAGAAAAGGGCATAATTTAGTCAAAAGCCATGACAGAGTTATCCACTCTTGCCTATAAGTGGCATTGATGATCATTTCCCTTATGGCTGCCATGGTAAAATGGGATTTTGTACACACCTGACAAATAAATTTGACACATAAATGTGACACCCAAGCCGAATGTTGAGAAAAGCTTTCCCTTAATATAAAATTTCAGAAAAAATGAATCATGAATGATTTAAAATTAATTGATCAATTCTCGATGTACTAAATAATGGACGCAATAATATTTTGAATATAAATTATCAAGATGACCTAAAGCAATGGAATAAAAGAACTTTCATTTTGAATTTTGACTGGAACAACTAATCCCTGGTATGATTTCTGGATAATGCTCAATTGTTTTTTTTTTCCACATTAAAAAAAATTTGCAAGTGTAAGTGAATGGTAAATAATCTTTGATGGCTTAACAAACAGACTTTCTAACACATGTCTTACTGTTCTTTATTGTAACTTATTTTCACATTTACTATGTAAATCACAGTGAATATATTTTGTTTTGTTTGGCTTAAACGGCACATTGACCCATTGTACTTACTGGTTATTCTGAAGAATATATTTACAAATTTTCCAGTTCATCTTTCAAAAAAACAAAACAACAACAAACTTATTTTCCATTGAAACAATATGTAAAAAATGTAGATAAAACATAATACATTTATTAGAACAGGTATCTAACAAAAAAATAAAATTTTAATACTTATACAGTAAACGCCGCTTATAATGATATTTGGGGGACTGCAAAATTTATATGGTTATATCTAAGAGGCAACCAATTTGAAAACAAGAGTCGTGACCAAGGCAACAGCATCATTCTAAAAGGTATATTGCTAAAGGAATATTGTTATAAGTGGAGTTTACTGTTTAAAATATATTTAAATGCTATTATAGAGACACAGCTGTCTGGAATATTCTTTGGATTTAAGTGAAATTCATGTACAATGTAAAATAAATGAGCAATCTTAATAAATAACAAACAAAATATACACAAAAAAAACCCCAAAGAAATTTGTAAAATTTAGGGTATACAATGCTTTTAATCATTATTTCACAACCTTTGCATTTAATAAATGTGGATTTCTCAAAAAAAGAAATTTAATGAACACAATTTATACTGCTGCTGACAACTTTAACTTAACGTGAAAAGTTCTAATTTGACAGAAAATTAAAATTCCATGTTACATTAACTGTTCAAGAAATGTCAGGGAAAATTTCATTTTTCTTTGGCAGTTTTGAAGGCAAACCAGTAACCTTGCTTTCATTTTGTTTTGTTGATTTATTATGCACATAATATTGTAACATTGCTGCATTTAAAAAAAAAATATGATAATGTAAAAATTGAGATTTTTTTTCACTAAAACTCAGATCTTGTTCTTAAAAAAACAAAACTTTTTTTACATCTGTGTACAGTAAGAAAAACTCATTTCATCATGGTTCCAACGCATGGAATTTTATAATTTCAAAAACAGATAAAAATCAGCATATTAAAGGGAAGCTACTGTGATGTGTTTCATTTATATGATTTGAACAAAGTATTAGCTTCCTATACTAAGGGACTGAAAGAAAAAGAAATGCACCAACCAAATGTAAACCCGCATATCACAATCTCCAGTGTATTGATAGATCCCTACCCTTCCCTTTATTTGAAAAACAATTGATTTACCAACAAACTTTTACATGTGTTTCTTATGTTTACAAATACGTTGTGGTGAAATGCATAGATCCTTAACCTGTCTGATTCTCATTATAAGATTAGTGGATACAATAAGAATTTCACAACAAAGAGGAAATCCGATTCATGATTGTGGTAAAATGTATTGTTATTCAAATAAAAGGTCAGAGTAGGGATCTATCAATTCTTATTGTAATCTCCTAACCTGATAATTCAACTTAATGCTTTTGTCCTGCAAGTTTAACACATTTTTCAATATGTTGGTGCCAAAATCGAAACCATCATATTGATCAAATGTGGGGACAGACGGAAGGTAAGAACCCTTCTTCATCCCCCCCCCACATCCAACCTTCTTTCTTGCACTTCTATCCCTCAAACATTTCCCCCTAGGGCTGGGGGTATAGCAGGAGTTTCAACTGCCTGGTGCATATTTCTATGTTAATAATATTAAAACATTTGTCTACAAAAATCACACTTTCTTAAGCTTGGTCCCTAAAGCACATTATTAACAGTACATATTAAAATCTAGAAAACGTAAGTAACATATCTAATTATGTAAATGTTAATAAACATAACAATTATTGTAAATTAAGTCACTTGACAATGGCATACAGTCAGCACGAAATTAAATTATCAGATCTATAAACAAGTCCTAAACAATAAGCCAATGGTCGCAACTGTACAATGTAAAATGTGTATATTTTTATTTACATGTAAAATTTCTTCAACTTCCATAACACAATTTGTACAGTATAAAGAACCAGTATGTAGAACTCTTTTATATCCCACAAAGCAGTGAAAATTCCATCATTCTATTTATAGATATTTATCCCATACAGGACTCGTTTGTCTGTTCCGCTGATTTACTAACGGCATCGGGGTCAGCTAAGGGGTCAAGGTCGGCAAACAAGTTAAACCAGGCTGACATATCTGATTTCTGTCCCTGCAAAGATATTTTACATTGTAAAGGTTTTGACATGAAATAAAAACATATTATACTTCCTTTTAATTGAAGATCAAAAAGATGTATACACTTTCAGCTCATATCATGGAGGCGTGGCCAAGTGTTTAACACATCTGCCTAGTAAACTAAGTAATACTGGCTGTGTGGGTTCAAACTCTGACAATGGGAAGCCTTTGTATCCATGAGCAAGGAACTTTACACATATTGCTTAATACTGGTTTGTTCCAGGAACAGATTCACGAGCGTGTCTATAAGCTTATTCCTAGACAATCCACCTAAATGTGTGTCTATAATTATTGCTTCCTACACAATCAAACTAAAATTAAATTCTGTATATCCAACTTATCTCTCAGTGCGCTAGATTGTATCTTCTATGTATTATAAGACCTAAGTGAAAACAAATGTAACTGTATTTCAAAGAAAATGCATTTTGATTTTTACATATATTAAATAAATGTAAATCTTATCATCAACTGTACATCATACAATAGTCGTATATTTTGACCTCCATATTGAATACACACATATAATACTTTAAATATCTTAAAGTGACAGTATTCACTGTCGAGTTCAGCTGATTTGGCTATATATTTAAATAGATTGGCTATTATAATGGTAATTGACCAATAAATGATAATGAAAAATGTTTAGGATAAAATATAACAACTGCTTAAATTATAAAACAACTGCTGACTCTTTTTATCAATTGAATGTTAATGATACATTCCGAGGAATATCTGTAGACTATTCCATGTTTAACATAGGTTATGAATTACCTATATACACCAGACTTTAAAGGGACTCCACTTAGGTTTTTTGACATCATGGGACTGAAAATATTTTTTCCAGATAAATGTACCATTTGATTAAGGTTTAGACCACTAATCTTTGTGCAAAATTTCAGATCATTCGCACACTATGTTTTTCCAGAATAATTATTCAAATTGTAAAAATATGACCCAAATTGAAAAGCGTTTAAACGCTTTACACTCAAATTTGGCTAAAAACGGCATAAAAATATGATTTTCCATTTATTTCATAGTATATTTCTTAACTATCTTTGCATATATTTCTGTTTAGAGTGCCCCAGCTCATTTATGTAAGATATTCAAATGTTATGTTTTTAGGCTTTTAACCTTCAGTGGATTCCCTTTAAAATTGAAAACAATTATAGCAAAATATAAGGTTATATTGGCACTGACCTGTACTCCCACCATTTACACTAGGATCGGCATAATGTCACTTTAAATTAAGTAAGATTTAGGAGAATCAACTCATTACATAAGATCTCTAAATGTTTTAATACAGCATAATGAGTAATACTCATTACTTTCTGGAAATACTTTACCTTTTTGGTAGTTTTAGGTCTTGCTCCCATTTGTTTTGACTGGTTCTCAGTTTTTGTTGCTTGTGTAGACTCTGGTGCACTTGAAGGACTGAGACCAGACTGAGATTTGTCAGCTGCAATGAAAAAAGTTCATCTTTGTTTAAAGATAACTGATAATTATAAATACCTGTAAGTAAAAACACAACAGACCCAAAATATCCCTTTTATTACCCAACTTAGCTTACTCTAGATGACAGGGCATATATTATTACTTGATAATATTGCAGTAACATTTTTAACTGTTACGTTCAATGAAAACTGTTGTCACAATGGTGGGGTATTACAAAATCAAACTTAAAATAGAATTTTGTATAAAATCAAACTAAAATAAAGAAAACATGATGGTGTTACCTGAAGAATTCATATCACTCATCTGTTGATTCAGATCTAATAAGTCAGACGGCATAAAACCCGAGGGATTCTGGGACTGATCGGTCTCACCAGGTGTCAGAGATGCTCCCGTTCCAAGAGGGGTGTGGCCAAACACAGCCTGCCATTCTCGTGAGAAATCGTCCTCCCCTGCGGCAGACGGAGCATTTAATATTTCATTCAGTATGGTCATATCATCTTTCTCTGTGTCGTCAACAAGCAAATCATCTGACATCAGATCTTTAGGTACTGAAAATAATAATTGATGTATAATAATGACATGGTCTGCCAGTGATTCTTCACCTTATATAACAGGGGCCTATAAAGGCCTCTTACCAGTTGAAATTTTCTTTAAAGTCATGCAGTTCTCCCAAAATCTGAACTTACACCAGCTTTATTACTTCTAAAATTAGCAATTAGGGCGATAACTTTTCCCAATATTAAAAGGCTCAGGACTCTTCCTAATTCATTAAGAATAACCACTGGGTCCAGAGTGTTTTTGTTATTTTTCTCCCCCTACCATAGCATAGCTGCAACATCACATCATCATGTATCCTTTTTTGTCCCAATGAGTTTTAATTTTCCATTTTATTTCTTAGTTCTTTCTTCTATTTTTTTTACCAGTATGCATGTATGTACTGGTGGCAAAGGCTAATAACTTTCTGTTCCAGCAATGCTAAAGGGGAAATCTCATCATAGGCTTTTTGGTTAAAACAATTCATTGAAGGTATTTTTTATTTTACTTGATTTTTTTTTCTCTGAAGAACCTTTAAGTTTAACAAGGCTTGTCAGCTTGAAAATAAGTGACTTTTTGTAAATATCAAAACGTTACAACTATTCATACATCAAAAAAAAAAAAAAAAATTTGGCATAAATCTTAAATCTTTCTTTTTTTCAGTAATGAAACAAAAAATTTAAGATAAAACTGTTTAAACATGCCAAGCTTTATTTACTTTCTAAAAAATAAATGTAATATATCCCTCTGATAAAGACTTTAAACGTCTGACGAGAATTTTTTTCAAATCTTTTATACTTTAATAATGACTTAAGACCAGTTTTAATGATATAAACCATTTATAACTTATATCCCTTTCTTCTGCGGAGACGAGGGGGGGGGGGGGGGGGTGGATTTAGTATTTCGGTAAATACCACACATTGAAAAGATCAAATCCCATTCTACTCTCAGTCTATAGACACAATGGATTATGGATTATACGAACTACCGTTAACTATACTAGGGAACGTGTCGGTGTCTCCTCGAGCACGGAAAGTTTAAAGTATTGATAGGCTAGAAAAACAAATAACGTATCTCGCCATGGTAAAACTCGATTATATCAATAGTTATTGGCAAATTATTGAAATCATTATCAATTTTATGACGGGTATAAAAGAATTTTAATGAAATTTTTAGAACAGGTTTTTTAAATAGACCGCAATTTAGTATTGTATATACTGCAAATCTGAAATAAAAATGGACTAATTTATATCATCAGGTAAGAATTTTTTTAACTCTTTTCAAATTATTTCATTTTCTTTATTTCATTTTAATAGTAAATATTTTCATGGAAAAAACGAATAATTTTTTTCTGTTTACATGATTCTGTTAGTTATATTAATTAATGATAATTTTAATTTTTTGGTTTAACAAAATTAATGAATAAAATATTCTTATAATTATATTTTATTTTTTTTGTTCAATGAATATTATATTCTTAATACTTTCACTCCAATGCATTTTTTAAACAGTGTTGTGTCTTTTTATGGCATAAAATAATGAAAATATTGGTCTTTTTATGGCATAAAATATTGGTTGAATATAGGTCTTTCTCAATGGTCAAAATTGTTGAAAATTCCCAATTTCATACAAAAAAAAATCAGTGGTGGGACAAAATGAAGGACATCTGATCCTATTCCCCAATTATCCCCTACATTGCCCGAGAGGATCCTTGGGGGTGGGGGCATATTACGACTGACTGGCGAAAAGCCAATTAAGTTAAAGTGTTTAACAGCAGCAGCAACAAATGAATTCAGCATTTGATATACTACCAGGGCATTTAGTAGAATATTCATATCTCTATACCAATTCTAATGGCTGAACATCTATATCTTGTATAAAGAACATGTTTAACTTCACGTTTAAATTAAATCATTAATTGGGAAGAACCTTAACTCCATTTCAATTGAAAATAAATATTCAAGTTTTTTAAATTTAAGCTTTACAAAACAAATTTTCCTCACAAAGAAAGATCTTTAGGTCTTTTTTATAATATTTAAAAACCAAATGATAATAATGTACCGGTAAAACAAATTAAAACACAAAGACGACAATAGATTCACGTTTTTTTTTCAGACAGATATAAATAAATTTTCCATGTAAATACTTCTTCTATTCAACTATCTGAATAAGTAGATTTTCCCTACATGTCTATATTTCATTATACTGATTGAACTAACTTTTATACGACTTCTAAAGCATAAATTTAACACCTCGTGAGACTTAAATTATTAACAAATCAATTTATTTACTGTACTGAAACAACCTGAACTTTCAATAAAACTGAATCACCTATTTCATATATTAATCTTAAATCAGCACACCTCCAGATCTGTGTAAATTCTTAATATATAATAAAACAAGCACTATGTTTAAATGAACACTATATATGCCACCCCCACCTCTCCAAATATGTCCCAATGTGACCATGACCTTGAAACTTGTGATCTTTAAGTGGGAATTGGGTAAGAGGTCATCAAAAGTGGTGTAACAACTTTAATGTTATGGTCATGGTTTAATTTTGTAATATTATTTTTTGTGTGTGTCTGTGTGTGTGTGTGTGTGGGGGGGGGGGGGGGTTGGGGGGTGTCGCACCAACACAGTATAGGTCATATGGCACATTCCAGTATAAGAAGTGGAAGAAGACCTCAGGTGCCCTTTAGTGAATTAATTCTGGCACAAATGGGTGCCTGAGAAAAACCACTGACGTGCTATTAGCTAGCTGAATAGATTCCTCACATGAAAGAATCCAAAGTCTCTGATGGTATTCAACAAAGTCTCTGATGGGATTCGAATGAACAGTGGAGAGGGGCAAGTGATTTGAAGTCAAAGACCTTAACCAGTCATACGCTCGTTTTGATATTACTTTTTTATAGAAATATTTACAATGTTTGTAAAACTATCAAATTCAAAACCAAACCAACTTTTCAGAGTAACAAATAAATGAAAGAAGATCTAAAAGAAAATACAACTTGATTCTTTATTCAGTGTAATAGAAAAATCAAATAGATAACCTAAATTCTAAACAAACAAACAGTTTTAAAACTCATGTAAAAAAAATCTTGGATGGATTTCTGTCTTATTAGTCAGAATAGCAATGTTACGGCAGTGTTTCTAAGTGATACATAATTGGTTGTACTCTTATTACCGGGTGAAGATGTCACATGTTTTTATCAATGATTAATTATACATAGTCGTTTCAAACTATTGATTATTGACTGGTTTTAAGTCAAACCTTCATGCTCTTGAAAATCCATCTGAAAATTTTCAATCAATATGTAGTTTGTGTGTAAAACAAAAATGTTGGAACTTAGTGTTACCTACATAATTATGTTAAGGTTAGTTTGTAACTTTTTTTTCATTTGTCTTTTTCTTTAAGTGTGTAATCGTCACCTTAGTGCAGTAACGGGTTAAGTCCTTCTAAATTTAATAGGTGTTTACCAGTTATTGCACTAAGGTGAGGTAATTCAATAATTGATTCAAGATTTATGAATTCCCATTTTATTCATTAAATGTTAAAGGATCTCCACTGAGGTCAAAAAGTCTAGAAACATAAAATTTGAAGTTGTTTTAGAGATTAAATGAAACACTTAAATAGAAAAATCTGCAACAGATATTAGAGAAATAAACTCAGAATTAAACTATTTATCCGGTTTTTTTTTCCCAATTATTAGCCAGATTTAAGTGATAAGCCTTGTAATGTTTTTCGGTTTTTTTTGGTCATTTTGCACAATAAAAATGAGTAACAGGTAAACATGATGGAATGATCAGAAAAGGTGTACATAAGTTATTGGTTCAGACCTTTATCAAATGGTTTACAAAACTTGGAAAAAATATTTCCTGAGTCTCCTCATGTAACAAAACCTCAGTGGAGTCCCTTTAATTTTGCTAAGATTGATATTGTTTGTGCACAAAAAACTTACTGGCACCTAACATGTTAAGGTTAATTAATTACTTAAATTTTAAATTACTTTTTTTTCATTTTGTGTGACAAATTCAAGATTAACTATACATCCAATTTTATCAATTTAATGTTAATATTGAAATAATGATATAGATAGACTTAAGTGGTTTCTATTTTTCATTAAAAAAAAAAATAAATAAAAAACCCTAAAAACATCTAATCCTCAATGATGACCCTTAATACAGTGACTTTTTAACACCTTTTGCAACAATCTATGGTATGCCTTTGAAAAATGGAAATTTTAGCATGGTAACCAGAAGTAAATTGGGAAAATTGTACAATTCTAACTGTTTTCAGTATTTCCCATATTATATCAATGGTATTTACTTATATATATAAATTTTCAAGATTGAATTGGGAATTTTCAACAGTTTTGGGAAATTTCAAAATTATATTCAGAATTTTTAACAATTTTTGAGATATTTTCAAAATTAAATTCAGAATTTTCAACAGTTTTTGGAAAATTTCAAGACCAAATTGGGAATTTTGAACAGTTTTAAAACTATATTCAGCCCATTTTTTACACAAAAGAATCATTTTTGACTAATTCTCATACTTGTAGAAAATTACTTCTTATTTATTGTCAACCTGACTTTAAATTATATTATGGTAATTTTTCAAGCCAGTGACATTGTTACTATTTTGCAAATTTAATAATTTTGCATATGATATAATTATGCTTCATCTAAAGTGTTCATGCCTTTATACATTTCAGGCTGTGGTATTCTACTAAAAAAGAGCTTACACAGTTGATATCTGGTTTGCATTTATTTCAACAACAACAACAATGTCAGGTACCATGACAACAGACAACAACATGCTCACTGTCAGTGAGCTCCTAGAGACTGGTTTCATCAAATGTACCATCTGTAAATCAGTCTATGAAGATCCCAGACTGCTTCCCTGTCTACACACATTCTGTCACAAGTGCATTCAAAAAATCATTGAAATTGAGAACCAGACTAGAAATCTGAACCAATCAGAGGCAGCCAATGGAACTGATGATGATAATGAGGCCAAAGACCTAAAGAAAACTGAAAATAGGCAAAAAATTATATGCCCAGTCTGCAAATCACCTATGGAAGTCAGCATCAAAGATAAAAAATCGAATGGCTTTCCATCAAATACATTTATGAAGGATTTAAGTGACATGTACGATTATAAACATGAAAAGGAGAGGCATTGTGAATACTGTAAATTTGATGGTAAAACAACACCAGCAAGTTCTCTATGTCTAGATTGCCATGACAACATGTGTCAAGGTTGTACAGGCGCTCATTTTAGAACCAAGGTCACCAGATGTCACAAGGTCATTCCATATGCTCATGTTCAGAAAGGTCTTTACGATTCTGACATACGGGACTTCCAGACCCCTATGTGTGTCCAACATACTGATGAACCAATGAATATCTTCTGCGAGAAATGCGAACTTCTGATTTGTAAAGAATGCAAAGTTGGTAACCATGACGATCATAAATGGTCGAAGGCCGACAAGGCTGTTCTAAAATATGAGGTCCAGATGATAAACCTACTTAAAGGTATACAACAACAGATCCCTTCTATACATAAGTACATGCAATTTCTGACCAATTACGAAAAGTCTATTGAAGGTGGTAGGGAGAAGCTGACAAATAACATCAAGAAGCAGGCGGAGATTTTACACGACATGATAGAAGAACAGAAGGCAAGCTGTCTGGAAGCTGTGAACAAGGCTTGTGACACAGAAAGATGTGAGGTCCAGGTAAGAAGTTCGAACCTTCACACAGCAGTAACCTCCTTGGAAAACAACGAAGAGTACCTTCGGAATCTACTGAAACACGGCAAACCTGAGGAACTGCTGACACTACACAGGGAGATCACACAGCGACTTACACAACTTACACATATGCAGATGGACGGAATAAACGCTAGACTGAAGACGGACTTTATTCCTGGAAGTTCGACACTGCGAAATATTCAGACCATATTTGGGAAACTCTCTATCGATCACGTTCCTCTCAAACATTCTGAGAGTGGTCTTGCTGCAGACAGTGCTCTACAGATTTCTAACATGCTACCAAATGTTCGTAACACGCCAGAACTAATTATAGAATTTAATGGAGAAGGTATGTCTGACAGTAAAGAGGTATGGCCAACTGGTGTAGCAGTTACTAAGGATGATAATCTTGTAATTGTTGACAGAGACAATAAGAAAGTTAAAATATATGAAAGAAACGGAAAGTTGAAACAAGAAATCCAAGGAAAGGGAGAAAATAAACTAGAAACACCATTTGATGTTACGGTTCTGAAATCTGGGGATATAGCAGTATCTGACCACGAAGCTGAAAATGTGAAGCTATTCAAAGTAACTGGGGAGCATATATTAACAATTACAGACGGAATCAAATATCCAAGAGGAATAACTACAAACTCAAAGGGAGAAGTTATTATTTTAGACTGTCAATTGCGACAGGTTACGATTCATGATCCCAAAAGTGGCCATCTGCTGAAAACCATCGAATGTAAGGATGCCAAGGATATTAAAGTACTCGTTGACCCCTACTATGTTGGTGTAACGGCTCAAGATAACATTATAATAACAGACACTGCCTCGCCAAATATCAAAGTGTTTAGTCCAGACGGAAAGTATCTGGCTAATTACGGACACTACGGTATGAGAAACGATGAGGTTCTACAACCATATGGTGTCTGCTGCGATCATTATGGTTACATATTCGTGGCCGACAACCAAAATCACCGAGTACATCTACTACTGCCCGATGGTAAACTCTCCAAGTTCCTTCTCACCAAAGCAGATTCACTATGGCACCCAATGGGTTTAGCTTTGACAGAAAATGGATATCTTGTTGTAACTGAGGCATTAGGAAAAGTGAAAATATACAAATATATATAAATCACTTACATGACAACTTATATTGAACCGTTACATTGAATGTGGAATGGCTTATCCAATACATGTATTAGGAAAAGTAAAGATATACAAATATATATAAATCATTACCTGACAAAATTATTATATAGAACTGTGAGGAATGACTTATCCAATATTATAAAAAAGTGAAAAATATACAAAGATATATAAATCAATGCTCTTCAACTAACAATGAACAGCTACACAAAAGGGAAATGACTTATCTGATTAAAGAAAAAATAATAATATACAAATCAGTATAATCCGGATCATCACCTGACAAGTTATTGAAATTATGAACACTGAAGTGGGCAATGACTTATCCAATCCAATATGATGGAAATGGTGCATTTTGTGAGTTTGCAAAATAATTGGAAACTGTTTGTTCTGACATTTAAACTGTTTAACTGATCATGATTCTTTCTACCAGTGTTGCATTTCTATTCTTTTGTTTTATTATATTATTATTTTATATTTTGTAAAGTAATTTAAAATAGCATTTATTTAAATATTTAGGAAATAAAAAATAAATCTTTTTAAAGATTTACTTTATCATTTTATATTGAAGACATTAGATTTATAACAAAACTTAGAGATAATATCTATTTAAGCTTTTAACTCATGCCTGAAATAATGCACTGAGGAGCACCTGGTCTTTCTCCTTCATGTCCAATTAAGCAAAAAAGTCACCATATGACTTTTACAGTGTCAGTAAGACTTAATACCCCAAAAATACAAACAAAACACTTGAAATGTATCCATAAACAGAGATGCCCCTACATTCCACTGCTTTTTTTTTAGTCTACTGCAAACAGCATCGTGGATGGATAAAGGCAAATCTATATATCTATCTTGAAGTAACATTTCCATTCTTGTCACATAAAAAAACCTTAGTGGAGTCCCTTTTAAGGTAATACAGTATTGTCACAGTCTTTCTGTGGTTTTATTTCATTATCTTCATGTCAACACTCACTTAATTGGTTAACATAATATTCAAAGATTTGAATATTTGGCAATAGACAGTACACACTATGTCACTAACATGCATGTGTATATGTGTTAACAGAGTAATTCAAGACTTTAAAATAGTCAAATTGAGCACTTTGAATATTTAAAATAGGAGCAATTAAATGAGAGTACTATACAACACAATACAAATTTCGTTCCCAATTATATCGACCCTGGGTATATGATAGGAGGAATATTTGTGCTTAAAGCATAATGCCTCCAGATCCATGCTAATTTTCATGAAAATTTTGAAAATGTATTTAAAAGTAAAATATTATATAGTGAACAAAAAAAGTAATTTAAACATTGCAATCGTGACTTACAATCCCCGCATATGTCCAAAACGAGGTTAAATTATACAAAATAGTCACACAGTAAAAATATGGTGATAAATATTGCATATAACAAGTAAATTACTACTGGAATCTTGGAACATTTTACTTTCTTAAAATTTTAGTACATTTTTCTCAAGTTTGATTGTCTTGAAATATTTTGGCTCAATGGGAGGCATGCAGCTTTAATTCTTCCTATCAACTTACCATTTTTAGGAATGGGCTTTTTCTCTAAAGATGGTATCTTTCCATTTATATCCAGATCTTTAATAGATTCAGTAACTTCCTCAGCAAAATCCAAGAAAGGCTCTGAAGTTCCCTCCCCTTTTTTGCTATCTTCCGGAGAAACTGTTCCTGCAAAATAAATTTGAAAATGAATAAACAAGATACACGTAAAAACAAGATTATACAAAAGATGTAATTATTTGTAGGCATAACTGGCGGTTAGGAGTAAATAATTCAAAACATGTCTTGTGTTTAAGCCAACGTATTTTCTTATATGACAGCAGCACTGGTTAGTTCTTAGAAGGGGACATTAGTCATTCAAATAAGCTTCAATCAAGCTTTTATCATAATCAAGCTAAAATAACTCATAACCTACTGAAACATAAAATGAATAGTCTGCAGGGATTTTTTTTCTTATTTTATAGCCAATATTCGGTCATATTCCCAATTGAAAAAAGTATATTATTTTCCCAATCCACAGGAAAAAGTTACAAAATGAAATATTGAATACCAAATTCTTAAATCTTTGAAAATAAGGGCTTCTTCACTGTGAAGATGCTTAAACGTTTGAAGATGCCATCCTAGACAATGATTCTTTGCTTTCATTTAATCACTGCAAAATTTAAATGAATTTTCCCCAATTTTTAACAAAACATCCCTGAATTTTCCAATTCTATGGGTATGGGTCATGGAAAATAACTGGAGTATTTGCCCAGACCAGCCTGCACTTAGGCTCTAGCTCAAGTTTTTGCATAGTATAGTTATAGTCTACAAAACTGTTATTCTGTTACAGTTTTACAGGGCAGTTAGTTTGGGGTTTTATAACGTCATATGGCAACTTTCCAACTTTACTGGTGGAGGAAGATCTCAAGAGCCCCTCCATGTCAGATTTCAGGCCCAAACATGCACCTGTGTAAAACCACCGATGTTCTGTAATCTATGTGCAGTTGGCTGACCAACTTCAGACTGAACTACTGACCACCTTCAAATTTTCATCTTGATATATCCAAAACTGATAATGAACAGTTCCAAAAATGGAAGCTGGACAAGTCCATTTTAGAAATATTCAGTAGATATAGGGTGAACAGGATGTCTCACCTTGTTTATCAGTATATAGATTGTGTAGACTAGAATTTTCTTCTGCTTTCTCCTCCTCGGTCTCCTCGTCAAGTGTTATCAGTCTGTAAATATATAACATCCCTGTATGTAATGCCACATATTCAAATGAACCCAGAGTGTGTGTTATTACAACAAACATTATCATCACGTCAAAAAAGAGAAGATGAACACAAAAATGATACTTAAACTTACAGGAGCTCCACTGAGGTCAAAAAACCTAAAAACATAAATTTGAAATTCTTACTTTCAAGGGGTAGTTGGCCATGTATACAATTGACAGAGGTGCATTATCTTTAATTTAGTTCAAATCTTAAATCTGTAATTCTTGACTATTAATAAATGATCAAATTATAATGATAAAAATGTTACATATAGTGTGTATTTTATAATAATGTACATGTAGTTTGATTTTACAAGCTTTTACAAATTAACATTTCATAGTTAATAACCTAACCAAATGCAAAATTCTTAACCTTAAATGTAATACTTGTCCTGCACTTTTTTTTCTTAAGATGTGTATTTTAAACATTTTACACACATATTTCCCATACAGTGTGTATTTATCATATATTTAGTTTTTCCATGCAGTGCCTTTTTCAACCTTATAACATACTTATTTCTCATTAAGTGTGTATTTTCAACTTACTGCACACTTATTTCCAATACAGTGTGTATGTTCAACCATTCAAACACTTATTCATCATAAAGTGTGTATTTCAACTTATCATACACTTATTCTTCATAAAGTGTGTATTTTCAACTTATCAGTGTGTATTTTCAACTTATCATACACTTATTCATCATAAAGAGTGTATTTTCAACTTATGATACACTTATTCATCATAAAGTATGTATTTTCAACTTATTGTACACTTATTCATCATAAAGTGTGTATTTTCAACTTTTCATTAATTTATTCAAGTTATTCCACATAAAGAGTGTTTTTCAACTTATCATACACTTATTCCCCATAAAGTGTGTATTTTCAACTTACCATACACTTATTCCTCATAAAGTGTGTATTTTCAACTTTTCATACACTTATTCCTCATAAAGTGTGTATTTTCAACTTATCATACACTTATTCATCATAAAGTGTGTATTTTCAACTTTTCATACACTTATTCCTCATAAAGTGTGTATTTTCAACTTTTCATACACTTATTCCTCATAAAGTGTGTATTTTCAACTTATCATACACTTATTCATCATAAAGTGTGTATTTTCAACTTTTCATTAACTTATTCAAGTTATTCCTCATAAAGAGTGTTTTTCAACTTATCATACACTTATTCCTCATAAAGTGTGTATTTTCAACTTATCATACACTTATTCCTCATAAAGTGTGTATTTTCAACTTTTCATACACTTATTCATCATAAAGTGTGTATTTTCAACTTTTCATTAACTTATTCAAGTTATTCCTCATAAAGAGTGTTTTTCAACTTATCATACACTTATTCCTCATAAAGTGTGTATTTTCAACTTAACATACACTTATTCCTCAATAAGTGTGTATTTTCAACTTTTCATACACTTATTCCTCATAAAGTGTGTATTTTCAACTTATCATACACTTATTCCTCATAAAGTGTGTATTTTCAACTTTTCATACACTTATTCCTCATAAAGTGTGTATTTTCAACTTTTCATACACTTATTCCTCATAAAGTGTGTATTTTCAACTTTTCATACACTTATTTATCATAAACTGTGTATTTTCAACTTATCATACACTTATTTATCATAAAGTGTGTATTTTCAACTTATCATACACTTATTCATCAAAAGTGTGTATTTTCAACTTATCATACATTTATTCATCATAAAGTGTGTGTTTTCAACTTATCACACACTTATTCATCATAAAGTATGTATTTTCAACTTATCATACACTTATTCATCATAAAGAGTGTATTTTCAACTTATCATACACTTATTCCTCATAAAGTGTGTATTTTCAACTTTTCATACACTTATTTATCATAAAGTGTGTGTTTTCAACTTATCACACACTTATTCATCATAAAGTATGTATTTTCAACTTATCATACACTTATTCATCATAAAGAGTGTATTTTCAACTTATCATACACTTATTCCTCATAAAGTGTGTATTTTCAACTTTTCATACACTTATTTATCATAAAGTGTGTATTTTCAACTTTTCATACACTTATTCCTCATAAAGTGTGTATTTTCAACTTTTCATACACTTATTCCTCATAAAGTGTGTATTTTCAACTTTTCATGCACTTATTTATCATAAAGTGTGTATTTCAACTTATCATAAAGTGTGTATTTTCATTTTATTATACACTTATTTCATCATAAAGTGTGTATTTTCAACTTATCATACACTTATTCATCATAAAGAGTGTATTTTCAACTTATCATACACTTATTCCTCATAAAGTGTGTATTTTCATCTTTTCATACACTTATTTATCATAAAGTGTGTATTTTCAACTTATCATAAAGTGTGTGTTTTCAACTTATCACACACTTATTCATCATAAAGTATGTATTTTCAACTTATCATACACTTATTCATCATAAAGAGTGTATTTTCAACTTATCATACACTTATTCCTCATAAAGTGTGTATTTTCAACTTTTCATGCACTTATTTATCATAAAGTGTGTATTTCAACTTATCATAAAGTGTGTATTTTCATTTTATTATACACTTATTTCATCATAAAGTGTGTATTTTCAACTTATCATACACTTATTCATCATAAAGAGTGTATTTTCAACTTATCATACACTTATTCCTCATAAAGTGTGTATTTTCAACTTTTCATACACTTATTTATCATAAAGTTTGTATTTTCAACTTATCATAAAGTGTGTATTTTCAACTTATTATACACTTATTTCATCATAAAGTGTGTATGTTCAACTTATCATACACTTATTCCTCATAAAGTGTGTATTTTCAACTTTTCATACACTTATTCCTCATAAAGTGTGTATTTTCAACTTTTCATACACTTATTCCTCATAAAGTGTGTATTTTCAACTTATCACACACTTATTCATCATAAAGTGTGTATTTTCAACTTATCATACACTTATTCATCATAAAGTGTGTATTTTCAACTTATCATACATTTATTCATCATAAAGTGTGTGTTTTCAACTTATCACACACTTATTTTTTCACAAGCAATTTTATAAATCTGGTAATGCTAGTAAAAAACCTATAATTACTTTACTTAATTTTCTACAAAAAGTACACTAGAATTAACAAGCATTTGATAGTATTGCAGGCAATACAGTAGTCCCCTACCGGTCCCTCAAAAAGTTCTTTAATTGTCATACACTCCTGTGTATTGCCATTTATAATGAATTTGAGGATGAAGTCTGTATTTGAAAATATCGACCACAAAACATAATAAAATAAGTTTGTCTATATCACAGTAATGTGTTAAGTTTCCATGCTTAGTAAGGAAATTATGTTTATACAACCTTGTCATATTATTACGATGTGGGATTTTAAAGTAAATCCTATAAGGAATGAAGAAGTTGGAGTGAAAATACCAGTTTTTGGAAAAAAATCTAAGTTCAAGGGGGACATAATTCTGGAAATAGTCTTGCTAGAGTATTTAACCTTCTCAAAAATGTCGAGTGATAATAAGAAACATATATATGAAGTTTGAAGTAGATACATTAGGAAATAAAGAAGTTATTTAAAAAAGACAACATTTTTTTCCCTAAAAAATCTAAGTTCAAGGGAGGTAATACTGATATTTTTTGTGCTAGAGTTATAAACTATGTCACATATGATGTGGTTGATGACCAGAAACTTATATTTAAAGTTTGAAGTAAACACCTTAAGAAATAAAGAACATATAGTGAAAAAGCTGAGAAATTTTAATCAGAAATCTTGAAATTCAGGCTATTTGTTGCCATAGCAACCAGAATTTTCAACATAAGAAGAAAAGAAAAAGATGTGCATAATCTCCAGACTGCCATCTACCCATATTTCAAGTTTCATAAAAATATTTTCAGCACTTTTTGAGTTATCACTGGATCCAGTTTATGTGTTAAATTTGCCATATTTTCAGACTATTTGTTGCCATAGCAACCAGAATTTTCAACATAGGAAGAAAAAAAAAAGACGTGCATAATCTCCATACTGCCATCTATCCATATATCAAGTTTCATAAAAATATTTTCAGTACTTTTTGCGTTATCGCGGGATCCAGTTTTGTGGACGGACGGACTGACGGACTGACAGACGGACAGACAGACAGACGGACGGAGGGTAAACCTATTGTACCCTCCGGTTAAACCGGTAGGGGACTAATAAAGAGAATATTATGTAAGAAACAAAGCCATATAACTCATATAATATATTATATTCAGTTAATATGTTAAAATTAATACAGAAAATCATGTCAAAGGGAATGATATAGGAGAAGGAAAAGGGAAGGTTATTCATAAGCCTACATAAGAAACCATCTGACCCTTAAGTTAACACTAAACTTGCAGAATTTCATAGCTTCACATTTTCAGAAAAGTCCAGTATCAATGTTGGTGATATCAAAATGAAATTGTAGATCAGTCAATGGAAAAATGAGCAAACCTGCTTTTTACTGGTGGGCAGGTGGCAAATCACTTTTGGTGCCAGCAGGTTAATGGTAAATAATGCTCCTTGCGTTGTAAAACAATATAGCAACAGAACAAAAATTCAGTTAAAAGTTGAACAAAAAAGTAAATTATCATCAATGTAATTCCCATTGCACAAGGGCAATAACTGTAGTGTTAACAAAAAAACATATTTGCCTTCCTTCCCTATTAGATATTAAATATAACCATTTATACTGAGCCATATAACCTGTGAGACACAGTTATAACTAATAATATTGTAGTATTATTACTGTAACAATGAAATTTCTCTAGAAAGAGCTGAATTATACCTTGTTGATAGTTTACAAAAACCTATCTTTTAAATTGGTTCTATGGCTATAAACAATTACATGTATAGCTAAGAATCATTTACAAACAGCCATAAAAAGTCTTTAAAACAAATTAATAATACTGTGCAACCTCTGCAAAGTGGCCATCTGTAGGACATTTACCTCTTTTAAACAACAGTAATATTTGCTCATAAAAGTATAATTAATTATAAATTTAACCTCTCTATAGCAACCTCTCTCATCAACAATCAAAATCTTTGTCCCTCAAAGGGTGTTGCTCTGCAGAGGTTGCAATGTGTTGCACAATTAATGGCTTTCCCTTATTCACATTAAAAATTAATTCATACTTTTAATGCAGCTGTATATATAATAGATTTTTTTATAAAAGCAGTAACAGTAACAAGAGCTGTCCGTAAGACAGCGCGCTCGACTTTTTTATTGCTTGCCAATAAAAAAAGTTTTTGCAGTAAAAGGCAATACAAGAATCTCTGTATTTTTAAAGTGAACAATGGCCATGAGCATTAAGATATTTAGTGAAGAATTATTTTACTGAATTGTGTGATACCCTTGAACACTGCAGCAAAGTTTGAAATGTTTAAGTCAAAAGAGGGCTGGTAAGAAAGAAAAAAAAACTGAGTTGAGCCTTAAATAAATTTAATAGTATTAAACCCACTTTGAGAGAATAAGGTATTTTTACGTCACTCAGAACACCTTGGTAAATGACATAATAACATAATTTTTCAAGAAATCTATGCCAAGGAAGCAGTATATTTTTGTACAATCAGCATAATATATAGATTTGACTTTGTATGTGAAAGTATTATAGTTACCTTATAATACAAGTAATAGATAAATTTTATCAATTTATGGTAAAGTGAACAAGTGGATAGGAATGAATTTTTTTAGATTTTTTAAGTTTTTTAGTGCTTGCCTATAATACAAAACATTGACAGTTAAGGGCCATAATTCAAATAAAATCTTTGACAGAATTACCTTCTCCTGGACATGTTTGGGAATCATGATTGTAAACAAGTATTCCAACTTTCAAATTAATATCTCAAACAGTTCAGTCAAAAAGTGGACTGGTACTAAAAACTTAACCAAGATTCTAAGTCGATAAAAGGCCTTAATTTTTAAAACAAATCCTTGACAGAGTTACCTTCTCTTGCATACAGATGGGGGTAATGATGTGAAATAGCATTAAAAGTTTCAAAGCAATATCTCAAAGGGTTAAGGCAATAAGTGGATTTTACCCATATTCAATGTATTTTCTAAGTCAAAAAGGGGCATAATTCTGTCAAAAACCTTGACAGAGTTATGTCCTCTTGTCTGTTGATGAAGGTCGTGATGGTAAACAAGTATGGTCAGTTTCAAAGCAATACCTCCAATGGTTTTGAAATAAAGTGAGGTGGTAACAAAAAACTTAACCAAGCTCAATACACTTTCTAAGTCAAAAAAGGGCCATAATTCTGTCAAAAACCTTGACAGAGTTATGTACTCTTGTCTGTAGATGGAGGTTATGATGGTGAACAAGTATGGTAAGTTTCAAAGCCATACTTGTAATACTTCTGAAATAAAGTGGGGTGGTACGAAAAACTTAACCAAGGTGTGACGCCAACGCCGACGCCGACGCCGACGCCGGGGCGAGTAGGATAGCTCCCCTTTTCATAGAAAAGTCGAGCTAAAAAGGGTGAACAATCTCAACTTCATAAATAGAGCTAGGCCATTAGATGAAAAGGCTTAAATATAGAAGAATATATTGTGTTAGGTGCTTCCTCCAAAATTGGGTTAGTATTTCCCTCTAAGAAACAACCAAGTTGGATAATAGTCTAAGATGTCTACACATATATAGGTAATAGAGGTAATGTTGCATAAGCGTACTTTTTTGGTGTATTCTATTGCACCCACTGATTGCGTCAAGATTTATTACCACAAGCCTGCAAGGCGAGCGCGAGTACATCTTTACACTATCAATGCAGGAAATACAATGAACCAGATAAGCACGCTCACATTGTTTTCCTTTTATTATATACCTTCTATGAAAATGCGTGAAATAAAATCTGTATAAACCAAAGAGGTTAAAACGCGTGAAATAAAAGTTGTTTAAACCAAAAGTTTAATATTCTCTTTATGAACAGGCTACGCACCAGGTTTTTAATATATAGTTATGAAAGGACAGTGAACATTAATTTACATCTGTGACACTGTCTCGAGCAATGCAAACCGTGAAAAAAAGAAAACTGATACGGATGTTAAGAATTTTTTTCAGTTGAAAGTGACTGTATTTCATCAATTATTTTTCATGTGTAGAAAATTCTGCACAAACCTTTCATAACTAAGTAGACCTTCGGTAAATTAGAGTTGAATGGACTTGCGTAAAAACTTTGACACATTGGGACTCCGACTCATGATTTAATTAAATTTTGAAATTTTGAGCTGTCAACGTTTACAACTAAATCATAATTTTCCACACATATCCACTCAATTTACAAAGTGATAAAAACAGAAAATCGCTCAGAATTACATCAGTAAAAAAATCATCGTATCATCGTCACAAAACAAGTAGGTATATAATAAAATCTACAGAGATCCTGCACCAGGGTAAGATATACCTATCATTTGTATCATCGTCAAGGTAACCATCAAAATCTTCCAAATGTTCTGACACCTCGTTATCACTGCTGATTATAAATACACCCATTTGTACTATATTACAAATATCCCAACAATTTGTCTCTACTTTTTTCTATCTAATAAATATTTGCATAAATATTTCACCTATTAAATTATCTTAGATAAATATTTAGCAGTTATTCACCTTAAACAAATTAAGTACCAATGCCCTTCTGTGCATTAATTCAGACATCAACAAGAGCCATGTCAACATGGCCACCCCCCGCCGAATGTGTTTGCTCATTGGAAGAATGTATATGTAGTAGAGCGGAATAATTCCATTTTAAGAGGTCTTTTGGTAATGAAAACTGATGGCTATAGTGATTACAGATTTGAAACCTATGTGAATACTGATGGCTGAAAATAACAAAGGGCAATTACTGAAAAATAATGCAGGGTAGGTTATCATTCTTGTGTGCTGCATCCTCCTCAGTAAAATCTATCCACCTATGAAGTTTCAAGTTGATACCTCAAATACTTTTTGAGAAAAAAATTGAATTGAAAAATTAAGTATGAAAAGAACAAAGGGCAATAACTCAAAAATTATAAAAGGTAGAGTTATCATTCTTGTGCAGTGCACACCTCCTGAGTGAGATCTATGCACCTATGAAGTTTCATGTTGATATCTCAAAGGCCTTTTGAGTTATGCTCTGGACAAAAATTAATTTGAAAATAACAAAGGGAAATAACTCAAAAATCATGAAGGGTAGTTATCATTCTTGCGCACTGCACTCCTCCTCAATGATATCCATCCACCTACATGTATCAAGTTTTAAGTTGATACCTCAAATACTTTTGAGATAAGCTCTGGACAAAATAGCATGAAAAAAAAAAGGCAATAACTCAAAAATTGTATAGGGAAGAGTTATCATTCTTGCGCACAACATTCCTCCTCAATAAGATCTATCCACCTATGACATTTCATGTTGATATCTCAAACACTTTTTGAGTTATGCTCCACTCAGGTGAAAAATTTGGTATGAAAAATAACAAAGGGCAATAACTCAAAAATTATGAAAGGTAGAGTTATCATTCTTGTGCACTGCACACCTCCTGAGTGAGATCTATGCACATATGAAGTTTCATATTAATATCTCATAGGCTTTTGGAGTTATGCTCTGGACAAAAATCAATTTTGAAAAATTACAAAGGGCAATAACTCAAAAATCATGCAAGGTAGAGTTATCATTCTTGTGCACTGCACTCCTCCTCAATGAGGTCTATCCACCTATGAAGTTTCAAGTTGATAACTCAAATACTTTTAGAGATATGCTCCGGACAAAAATGTCGGACGGAAGGACGGACGGATGGACGGACGGAAGGACGGAGACTATTTCTATATCCTCCGCCGAAATTTTTCGGCGGGGGATAAAAACAACCAAGGTAGAACCACCATCCTTCTATACACTACATTTAACTGGAAAGTTCAAAACAAAATTTTAATATCAGGTTTAAAAAATTTCAACCTTAGTGAGGGGCAAATATTCCACACCTTGGAGGATTTAAATACCAAGGGGGCTTGAGGACAGCAATCTGAACTAGACAGCTACAGAGCCCCAAAACTCCAAGCACCCCTAATGTGTTTCCTGTGTTTAAATTATCTGATAACAGGAAATATCATAAATAAATATCTGTCAAAATTCTTTTTCATCTTCATCTCCCCTAAATGATTTTACACGCCGGATATTAAAAAATATTCATCATTAAACTACATGTATACTCAATATTCTATTGATGTAACTTACTTTTCTGGATCAAAATCATCTCCCATGTCTCGTTCTGCGGGCTCCCGTGTATTATCCGCAAGCTTCTGTGACGGCTCTTGTAATTCCTGAAATGTATGTAAAATATATCTGAAATGTATATGAAATTTATATAAAATTTATGTAAAATGTATGTGAAATGAAAAAAATGTGAAAATATATGTGAAATGTTTGTGAATTGTATGTGAAATTTATGTGAAATGTATAAGAAATATATGTGAATTTATATGAAATGCATGTGCAATGTATGTGAAATATATCTAAAATGTATGTCAATTATATGTTAGATTAACATGAAATGTTTGTAAAATGAATATGAAATAAAAAAGATAACAGGAAATGCAGTGGTAAAATTATAATCGTGAATGTATATTGTTGAAAAATACATTTGACAATAAATGTGATATATTTGGTGGGCAATATAATATTGTTAAATATTCTTGACAAGTTATATGGGCCCTTAATAAAATATGTCTCTAAGATAAGGGCTCATAATATTCTGTCACAAATAAATCTCTGACGAGAAGTTATGTTAACTCCTATGCTCCCCATGATAGATGGATTAAGGTTCCTTCATTGATGCGTGAGCATCCGATACGCATCAATCGTGTTTAATCGTCTTATCAACAGCCCCACTCACTTTGTTAATACTAATCTGAGAATTTTATAGTAATAGCTGCAAATTTCTTATTTAGAGAAACAAGTGAGGGCCATGATGGCCCTGAGTGCACATACCTGTTATGGCCCCTGGGGCGGCGGGGTGGATTACAGACAAGGGAGAATTGCTTTATTTAGCGCAGCGACAAAACTTCGGTTGTATGAAATTAGAAAAGTGTTTACGTGTAAAACTAGCCACGTACGCATTCTCGACGGCCGGGTCTCTATAAAAGAATGATTTTAAGTTTTTCCCTCGACACAACTCTAAAAAAAATGATACCCCGGGCAGGGCAGTTTTCAATCCAGGCTTTTATTCAGCAATTTTTGAGTATTACATTCCTGGAAGAGTTTTTAGTCTTTTAATAATCCCTAAATCTTCTATTCGGGTTTTGTTCTGCACCGGTAAAGAAGAGAATACAGTCTCGTCTTGCCCTCATAACTTAATAATCTCTATATATAAGAGAAAAGTCGAAGTGGCTTTACAGAAGAGGCAACCAAAGTTTGTAGGCACGGGGATCTTACTTTGAAACCATATCAGTGAAAACGAAATCTATTAGTAAGCAGGCCCATAGCAGCATTGACGGTACATAAGAAATAATAGGTCTCTAACATAGTCTATAGTTAAGTGGAGTTACTATATGAATGATTAGGATAGATATAGCGTTCTCTTTTATTTGAAGTAGTATTCTCTCTTAAGAAATATAGGAGAGAAAGTTGAGAAATTAATAGTAATCACAGATGTCCTAACAGTATGATAGGCTTTTATAATGGAAGACAGGGGTAATGTTAGCATTGGAGAGGAAGACATTTAGGCTTGTACCTCTGTATTGGTTTCCTATCCTCATGTAAATCATAAAATGCTGATTGTATTCTGTAATAAGATGGTTTTATTATTTAGGAAGGAAAAGATAACTTAGTATATATTGTGCTTTGAGTTATGGGACCATGGAACAGGCGAGTATCATATCTTGGTAAATATAAATTCTTATGTAACGCACGCGAAATAATTCTAGAAAGGATATGACACAAAAGCATCCATAAGGGGAATTATTTTTGTATTTTTTGTATAGTTTATTTATATAAAAGTAATTTATAGTGATAAATGACGCTGGAAATAAAAATGGTTAGTAGTGAAAAAGATGTATCAGAGAACAGACCCAATAGGCTACTGTACAAGTGACAGGTGAGATAAAAAGTGAGATTTGATTTTTTTCTTACATTGACAAAGCTGTGTATAAAAAACTACATAACGTCACGATTATCATTGTAAAGTGACTTACAAACATGCGATTTATATGAAAATATATGTGATAAAATAAGAGAATGTCACAATTTTCTTGATCATATATTATACGCAGCTAAACAAAGTAAAAAATAAAGGGGGATTATGATTGCTTGGAAAAATAGGTTTAATACCATGTCATAATTTTTATAAGTTTTTATTTAGAAAGAAACGAATACGACAGAAATTATGACAAAACTTGTTGCCCAGTGTCAATATTCATTCAAAATTATAAAACAATAACCTATATTGAAAAATACAAAAATTTATTACAATTTCATAACCAAATTTAACATGACGTTCTGTGCATGCCATCCGATGTTCAGGAATCACATGGGAAATAGAGCGATCTTTCTCTTTTTTTGTGTTATTCTGGTATGGTGGGCACTACAGGTCATTATTTATTTGGTCGATTCCTTAATTTTGTTATTGTTATATGTTGTATCTTATGGATATAGATTGCCATTCAGTACAGCTGTTTACGAATAAAAGTATTAACATAACAAGGACCATCTTTACTTTATAATAATCTAATACTGGGTAGCCCTTAACTCTCCGCACAGCTGTACATCAGTAAGTGAAGTTTTCTTCCAGAAATAGTTAGCATAAGCACGGAATTGATAATGGCTAGAGTGACGAGAATGTTTATTCTGCGAAGCAGGTACTTTGAGTCACTTCAACTTGTCAAACGAGCCTTCGTTTTCTCACTTGGGCTTGAACCCTGAATTTAGTATTTATATTACGCAAGCAACAGACTATCCCATTGTGACCAGTGCAGATGGTAGTCCCTTGCATTTGAGTATGCTTGCACTGTTATTTTCTGTCAGTCTGTTGACATTTTTTTAAAATTTCTTATAAAATGTGATGTTTTGTCAGATGAAGATGCATTCCTTAATATGGTCTGATAAGTTTTTGAGGTATAGTTCAAGGTTTTTTATATGTTATATTGATTTTATTGTTTGGATGTTATGTCCTTAGATGCAAAAAGTTACTTATTTACTTAAAGCATGATTATGTACACCAATACAAGGTTTATTGTTGCCTTTTGGCAATTAATACAGTTAAATGATTTAATATGAAGTAAAATACTTTGTTTTTTTGTACTTTTTGAAAAATTTACATAGTGGCTTTTCAGGTGATTAAGGAACTGATTTATCCATTTCCAAAGATTAATATTATTATTTGTGAGGCTAAATGCCTAATAAAACATTAGTGACAAGAATTAGATATAGGAATAAGAGACTTAAATGTTAAAATTGTGCAAAAAAATGCAATTATTACATGCATTTGGCATTTTTCAATAGTCTCTATTTTTTAAATCATATGTAAAGGATTTCATTAATTAATATATATTAAAATAAACATTTTTTTTTCACTTTCTCAGTTTGAATCTAAATTATCTAGGTGGGAAGTATCTTATAAAAGAAATCAAATCTACAGTACTTTCATTGAATTACGTTCTTATTTAAAGAATACAAGATAAACATACTTTTCTTGGATTTTTCATGCTTGTTTGAGTATCTGGTATGTTCGCGGACGCTTTCATCCGTTAGGCCGGCGATATTCGTTTGCATCCCATCTATTTATAGTATTAGAGTGTCGAATGGTCTACTAGTCCAAATTCTTGGTACAACCTTACGGTGGTCAGCTCGAGAAAGCCAACGTAAGGAAAAGTTGTGATAATAATTTAAAATAAGAAAATAATCGAGCAACGTTGTTATAGGCTGTAATGGTCCTTTGGTTGGATACTGAAAATGTAGATAACGTTTTCTAATAATATAAAAAGGAAATATTGCCACAAGTGAGCTATTTAAGAGGGCTGTAATAGATTCTTTGGTTGGGATTGCTATAAAATGTAGGTGAATGTTTATTAACAGTTTAAATTAGATGCTAGTATAACTTGTGTATGAGGGATGTAAAGTTGTGAACGATGGCTTTTTATTTTGATCGATGGGCTTTTTACTTCTATTGAGGTTTCAATGTCGGATTGAGTGGTTTATTTGGGACAAAGAAGAAATATGCCCATTCGGACGCAAAAAAGCATTGTCTTACTACGGCAAGGGTATTTAATTGGTATTTGAACTTAACTGTCCTGGAACTAAGGAATCACAAGTTATATCCTTATTTATGTGGTTTTAAGTACATGACACTGGTCAGCTGATGTGGTGGCAATTTCCGCTTAACTGGTGGAGGACATCATCAGGTTTCCCTTTGTGCATTTATTTAAGCATTAGTGGGCACCAGAGTAAAACAACTGACCATCTGTAGGCTAGCTGGATAGCTTCCTCACATGAAAGAGTTTAAAGTCCCTGATTAGATTCGAACCCACAGTGGTGAGGGTGTGCCAGGTTTTTACAATTGACTGGTGCATAACCAGTGATTTTCCTCATTTTGTTGGTATAAGAGGCCTTAGCCTATAGATTTTGGAAAAAAATAATGCTAAAATTGCTATTTTTGAAAGTAAAAAAGCTGGAGTAAATTTGGATTTTTGAGAAAACTACATGACTTTAGAGAAAATTTCAATTGGGAAGAAGCCTTTAATAGGTCTCTGTTATATAAGGTGAAAATTCACTGATAACATATCAAAATATTTTTCACCACCAAACATTTTTTACTAAATGTCTTCCCTTCATATAAGATTTATCTTTAAGTATAATAAAGTATCGATTAAACAAATTATGATCAAGTTGATTATCTAACCTTTGTTGAGCTGCAAAACTTTGTGATTTTCCAACTGCAGCCATCATTTTACCAGCTCTAGTTTTATCCTGTCCACTATTTGACTTTAAAAACCTGCCAGTGGCATTTTCCTCCATCGATAAAGCTGAAGAAGATAGATATTAAATAATCACAACAACATAATAACACATATTCAAAGTTAAATTTGCAAGATATTTTTTTCAGGTGCCTATAAAGTGTCCAATTCACAATCCAAAATAACCACAATTTTCCCCTTATTTCATAAGATATTCCCAATTGCAGCGAAAAAGAAAAAAGAAAAAAAAAAGCCAACTCTCTTTATTGAGAAAAATTGAAATATTTGTTGTCGTCTTATAAGTTACTCCCGCACACTTGACTTTAAAACAGGGCATAATCACTCAAGCGTGAAAAATTATCTGGTACTCAACAAACAAGAACACCCCCACCCCCTTCCTATCCATTTTCTGGCGCATATACCTCCACATTAAATGAGAAAGCAATAATGGTAATGTAATATACATACCACAGAGGCGATCCTGATATTTTTCTATAGCCCTCAACAATTCCATACATGACCTCTGTATTGCCTTGAACACCTGTAATCAAATTGAAAGTATGTGTTTATTACATCAAAATGACCATAAAAATACAATGTATATACATTACTAAAGTTTTTTTTCTAAAAATACAGCATAAATTTTCATCAAGTGGTATAAAAATAAATATTTCATGAGTGACTGTAGACAAAAGTGGTGAGGGGCAAGTCAATGACCTTAACCACTCTGCAACGAACGCCCCTCAATTTTTGTATCTTGATATTGATAGTCCTTGAACCTTGAATGACCTGTTTTGAATTCAAAGTACAGCTGATACATTACAAATGAAAGTTGACTTTTTATGATTTACTTCAAGTTTGGAATCCAACTCTGAGTCTGAGGCGACCACATGTTCATCTTCTTTCTTGCCAAGTTTCTGTATAACTGCTTGTTTCGTTGTCCAGAATGTCTCCTTGAACTTGTGAAGGGTTGACGTCTCTCGACGCTCAACAAACCTGTCATACTGGCTTCCAGAATATCCATGTGTCCTTAAAAACAAATAAATAATTGAGCCGCGTCATGACAAAACCAACATAATGGGTTTGCGACCAGCATGGATCCAGACCAGCCTGCGCATCCGCGGATTCCAGTTCAGTTTTCTTTCATATTTATTTGACCAAAACGAATGTGTAGCATGTTTAATGAATACTTTGTTTACTAATAATCGATATATTGTTTTTGAATCCATCAATGTTCTGCATATCATCATGTTGACATTAGCATTTGAGCAAAGTTTGAAGAATATCCTTCAAAGGTTATAAGATTTATAGAATGCACACATTGGAAAGGGACAGGCATTATTATGTGGTGGGGGATATAATTACATAAATTTATGATAATGCTAAACTGATGAAGTTTTATTATTAATTAACTTCTCTATATTAGGCATGTTTTCACTTCAAGTGTTAGGCTAATTTTATGAAGTTCGCAACATCATTATGAACATTAAACAAGGCCATAATGCAAAAAGTATGGCTTTTATGAGAAAACTCGGTTAATATGAGATTGGAGAATTTTGATTGGCTCTCCAGCTCGGCCATTATCATTATGAATCTGCTTTATTTCCATTGAAAAAAATCGCCATTTTGAATTGCTGCAAAGTTTCCCCGAGACATTTTTAAAAAACAAAAATCTCATTTGCAATATCTCACAACAACGGAATTTCACATTAGTTATTTTTTGTTCACTAAGTACTTTACCTTTTTAGATTATGTGTAGTTAATTAATAAAATTGTCGATAATTAGGTGTTTTCATAACGGCCTTGTTATATATCAGTCTGCAGCCCAATAACAAGGCCATTATGAAAACACTTAATTATTAACATTATAATAAAGTAAATGTTTTCAATACTTACGACATGGCTAACTCTACTTATTCTTCAGTCTGAAAAGGATAACAAATGCATCATTATTAATTTACATATCAAAACTATGAGATATACACTTCAGCCTCATTAAAACGCTCATGTTGGGGTCCAATGTCTCAACACCGCGTTCTAACGAGGCTCTCATTAGAACGCTCATTGCGAAATTACCGCATTACCCCACCCACCTCATGTATAAATATAACGCTGATTTTTTTACTTACTGTTCAATGAATGTCGACATTATCTTTTTCTAAAACCATTCAATGATGTAAACATATATTATATTCACAAATAATACTAATTATATTTAAAAGAAACGAAAAACTTTGGAAAGAAAATTATAAATCATGAATGTAGTGTAAACAGCCATTACTGTAATGACGTTTGATTAACTAGGGGACACAACTAAAGCTGGACTGTGAATAACACTGTAATTTACAGTCCAGCGTTAGTTGTGTCCCCTAGTAAATCAAACGCCAATTACTTCATGTCATGGCCGCTCTATTTACATTGCAGGATTTTAAATTGATTTTGGGATTGTGGGTTATTTAATTCAGCGAGGTTTACATGTCAAAGATATGTGTGTGAATTTTAGTTTATTTATACTCACCACCGGTTGCCAATGTCACAGTTATGATATGAATTTGAGATTTTGGAAACAATTTGAAGACAGGTAAAACAACAAAAGAGCGGATAAACGCTTACCTGGACATGTTTTTCACACCTTTGGCGCTCATAAATGTCCTAATAACAATTGTTTATTGTACTTGACTGTCAAATTGAGCAAGCGTTATAGCGTGCTATAAAAGTGTTTACTTAAAAAAAAAAAAATTTTGGGGGGGGGGGGGGATTTTTTTTTTTTTTTTTTTGGGAGCCAAGGTCTATGAGCGCTATACTGAGATTAGCGTTATAGCGAAGAGCGAGTTATCGAGGCTACAGTGTATATGTATATTTTTCATATTATTTTGAACCTAATTCATTTTTTGTTAAAAGTTATAATAACTTAATAACAAGCAGCCAATTCCTGTGTTACAATTTTCAGTATATTTGTCAGTGTAAATTTAAAGTCTTTGGTTGAAAATATTTTGTAATTGTTTTTCATATGAACGATAATTTTATCATAAAGAAGGATTTGGGCCATCAGTAGCATTTGAGCCGCGTCACGACAAAACCAACATAATGGGTTTGCGAACAGCATGGATCCAGACCAGCCTGCGCATTCACGCAGTCTGATCAGGATCCATGCTGTTCGCTATCAGTTTCTCTACTTGTAATAGAGTTGGTAAGCGAACAGCATGGATCCTGATCAGACTGTGCAGATGCACAGGCTGTTCTGGATCCATGCTGGTCACAAAGCCATTATGTTGGTTTTGTCGTGACATGGCTCATTTACATCTTATCCTTTGAGCAATGAGTATAAAACCCTCTGTTTGTACTGGTTTTACCTGGATGACTTAAGAACTCAGAGGACAGGTTTTGTTTTCATGCTGATAATAAGTTTGGCAAAGATTTTAGAAATTAGATGCACAAATGGCCTTTTGCTACAGATTTTCCTGTACCATTTACTTATTTTTAGTGCAAATTGTGCAACAAAATGTCCTCTGCAAATTTATGAGGACGAATTTTGTTATAGCTGGGGACTATGTCAAAGTATATTGTAATGAGAGGAGAAAATCTGTAAGAGGCTGGATATCTCACTCTGTGACATACAGTAAAAGGTCAACTCATCCTTTATTTTTTTATATATTTTTTTTGCAACATTTTCTGTAACTGTACTTTTGTGACAATTATTATGTATTTATTAGAATTATTATGAAAATATTTGTACTGTTTAACCTTTTATTTCCATTTAATAATATCTATGACATAGAAGGAAAGGAACAAATATATCTCAGGTATCTACGTAACATTGGTGTTTGGACCACCTCTACATTTCGTTACTTTATATACCTGTAGGATGATTCTATTTACAAATTACATACATGTTATGAAAATTATTTTGAAAATGGTTGATGGAAATACAAAAAGGCAATGAATATATATTCTTATCAGTAATAGAAATATGCGCCAATTTAACCAGTGTCGAGTTTGTACAGGGCCGAAATGGCTAAGACTGGGGGCCGAATTACCCAATTAGTCTTAGGCCATTAGCAGGGCCCCTATTCGTGACATACTGATACTAACAGAACTTTGTTATACTCAAAGATGACAGTCATATGTATATAAATTTGTATCTTAAATCGATTAATTTAATTTCTTTAGACATGTAAAAATGTGCAGAATCTAGCATTAATACAAAATCTCATCGATTTTTTTCAGATTTTCGCTCAACAGAAATTTATTCTTTTTCTGTTTTACTTCATTTTGAAATAACAATTAAGTATACTTCAGCCGCAATACCTTTGAATAAATGTTTTAGATGTATCAGGTGGTCTGCATTTAAGCCTTAATGTATAATTTCAGAATTACGTGGCAAAACTGCAACAAATTTTTACGCATCTGTGCAGTAATCCGCCATGTTTGTTATGATAATCAATTGACATGCTTGTTTGGTAATGCTGAATGAACAAGTTCTGATTAATTCTCTCCGGTTAATCGAATAACAATGATTCTTTTATTTATTTATTTATTTATACATTTTAGGAATAAATAAATAAAAGAATCATTAAATCAATAAAAGATTCATACATATAGTTTTCGCGGAAATGTCATAGCTCGGACAAAGTCATAAAAGGGCATTAAATTTAGATGAAGTAACTAGAAATAACTAATATAAAAGCATTATAATCCACCCCATGACATTTTACTGCTGACAAATTTGAATGACACTTTTAACCAGAAGGTTTAAGGGGAAATGCATATTCCAAGGGGGTTAACATTTTACTTTATTTTAGTTTTTTTCGCCAAACATATTAGTTGATATCCAAATCGCACAGGGGCTACATATATTTTATTTTGTCCAACTAATTGTACTACGATTTGAGATATTGTGTCTTTTATATATGGGCAGTATCTAACCGTTAGAAGCGAAAATAATCTGACAAAGAACAAAAATATCAGTATGAATCTAGCTTTGGACGTAGAAATATGTCGACTATTTCCTTTTCATGACTGTCTTGTAAAATGAAATTTTGGTTTAAAGTTCTATGAATGTCACATTTCCTTGTCGGAGTTTAAGGGAATTCAAAGAAAACAGGGACTATACCTTTAAGAAGAATAATTTACTGATGTTTACACGTACATTATATAAGCTGAATACTACTCTTATCTAGATTGCAACCATCATATAATCAATGTCAATCAATCAATCAATTAATCAACCAACCAATCAATCAATCATTCACATTTACATTTATTTATTCATTCATTTATTCATTTTTTTTCAAATCAAGTCAATAAATCAAGTGATTGAATGTATCAATGATAAATTAATCAATCAATCAAAATATCAATCAATCAATCAAACATTCATTTATTTATTTATTTATTTATTCATTAATTCATTTAAATCAAATCAATAAATCAATCAGTGATTGATTGAATGCATCTATAAATGAATAAATTTAATCAATCAATCAATTAATAATTCATTCATTCATTCATTCAATCATTCATTCATTCATACATACAAATCTATAAATAAATAAATAAATAAGTTAATAAATAAATAAATAAATAAATAAATAAATGGAACAAGTCTTAGAATTTAAGTGCTAACAATTGCCATATTTTTTCTTAGTACGACTTAGTTTCATCTCATCATTTCGATGAAATAATGTAATTGTAACATTCAAGTATATGTTTACAATGTTTAAACTGATCAGGATGTCCTTTGTGTCACTTCAGATACTATTCAGGATGTTAAGCACTTGATTTTAAGGATTCATATTTAAATCTAAGGCCGTCAATATCATTTTGTTAAGCTGATTCATTCTTAACAAGTAACAAAATACAAACACACTTGGCCGTCTCGTTATTTAACAAGAGCACCACAAATCACGCGGGGAAATATACGTCCGAATGTAAATTTGTATGAGTAATCAAAAATAATCTTTCAGTTAGGGTAGAGTCCCAATCAATAGAATCAATTAAGAAACTTGAAAAATGTTTTATCTTAATTTATCTTATAATACTATAATTATGACCTCCATGGTGGAGGCATTTTTACCCATAGTGCATGATTCATATAACTTTTATAGAGGTCTACAAAAAATGTACTAGGAAATGCTATATGCCAAATATAGAGACATAGTATTTATCAATAATAAGATAAGATGTGTTTTCCTATACATTGGTCTATATAAAGCAAGTGACTGACTCGGGGCATGGCCAATTATAAACTGAGGGTCATGATTAATATAACTATTGTAGAAATCTACAAGTTGATGCTACATATCCTCTGGGCTTTGAAGTTTTAAACAATACGGCTTATAACAAGAGCTGTCTAGGACAGCGCATGACCAACAATTATTCTCAGTGCTTGATAGTAAAACAACAGCCAGGATAAAGTAGAATTTTCTCTCTTAAAAGGGGCCATGTTTCTTTGAGTTGTGGGCATTGGACAGTGACCTCCTATTTATGCCCACTCTCTCCAGTAGTTTTGGAGCGCATGAATACAAACTATATATTTCAAAATAATGAATAATCAGGCGCCTTCCTACATAATGAATTATGTCAATTTATCCTCAGAGGTACATACACGAATTAAGTCTGCATTCATCATCTGATCTTCAACTTTACATCCCTAGACCAAATACTAAGTAACTTCGTAAGTCATTTGTTTATTCTGGACATTCTAGATTTTGTATTTGGAACTGTCTTCCTCTTTTTATGTATCATTTTTACCATTATGATATATTTGTTAATGGCCAAAGGCAAAGTTTTTTGCTGAATGCCAATAAACTTTGAACTTTGCTTACATCAAGTCTGCTACCACCTTAAAACCTTTTACATGAGATATTGTCACACGCCCAGACCGGTGTAAGCTCCATATAAGTGTCAGTTAACTCCATACCAATTGATAGCTGTGTCTTTAAAATCTCTCTCATGGATGTTACATTTGTATATTTTAATTACTTAAAAATTCTAAATTTATACTGTTCTTTGTTGAGGTGGTCTCGTGAAAGATAGGTGTATTGTTCAAATGAGTTCTCTTATTAAATAAAGTCTTTATAATTTTGGATTGCCTCATGGAAGATAGATATGTTATTTAAATGAGTTCTCTCACTAAATAAAGTATTTATTATTATTGTTATATAATCATTATTCAATGAGAATCATTCTAATATATTTATCATCTACAAAACAACAAATGATTTTGCATCGCCTTACGAACTAATTTTGTATATTGTATTTGCAAAGCATGTGATTCGGTTACATAAATAAATACATCTGCGACATAAACAATTCATTTTAAACAAACTGAACTTGAGCATATGATCATTATTTAAAGATATTGGATTGTGATAAGGCTAATAATGAGTGATTTATAAAGAAGTCGAATAAAGAAAATTCTTTTCAGCGTTTGTGCTCTTGGTTGAGGTTTTATAAGTGTCTCTGGGAGAAATTCTTATTTTGTCATTCAGAACACCTTTCCGATTAACTCACAACAATCCTACGTTGGACGGAAGTGCTGAAAAGTTACGACTATAGCCTCAAACACTCAAACCGGATAGCTAACATTCAGCTATGGTTGAAGAACAAAAGATATTCTCTGAACAACAATTGGCTGAAAGGATGAACTATGAATTAATGAACGCTCTCTTGCCACTTGTTACATTCATAGGTTTCGAAATAGTGTTCGGATTCTTCGGAAACTTGCTTGTTTTCTATGTGTACACTTTCCGCTATCGTCAGAGAAATTTTCGATATTTTGTTCTGTGTTTAGCAATGGCTGATACATTGAGTTGTTTAACTTCGATGCCACTGGAGATTGTCTCACTAACTCATTGGTATATCTATCCAGGAGAAGCCTTGTGCAAAATTAAAACGTTTTTCAGCGTGTTTACTGCGATTTCGAATAGTCTGTGTTTGTTTGTGATTGCAATAGACAGATACAGGAAAGTTTGCGAACCTTTGGGGTGGCAAATCACACCGGAAATAGCTAAACGTCTTTGCTGTTCCATTTATCTCGTTGCCTTTCTCGTGAGTGTTCCATTTCTATACTTTTGGGGAACTATGTCTTATCAGTATATATATGAAAATAGAAATATCACGGTAACAACATGTGGTAAGGACACTGGCAAAGTGCATGCCGTTGGCTACGCTATAACAATAGATGTGATAATGTTCAGTACTTTGTTTATAATGCTGGTATTGTATACTCTAATAGCCAGGCGACTTCTTGCAAAACGGAAACCAATTATTGTTGGGGCAAAGACATTGAGTCATGCTAAAAAGCTGGTGTGTTCGAGCAGTGAAGATGGCGCAGTGCTGCAATTAAAGGAGTATTACTCCGCACAAGACGCTTATAAGTACAGATTTAAGGATGATAGGTGTCGGAAAGTCGTCAATAATCAACGTGTTGCAAATGGATATGAAAACTGCAAGGTTGACGCTCGCATCCGAAGAATGACTGTGATCATGCTAATTTTGACGTTGTCTTTTATCATCACTGCGGGTGTTTATCTCGCACTACTTTTCCTTTTCGCATTATCTGACGATAAAAAGGTTGATAAAATGAGCAATGGTCTTAAAGTGGTCATGTCATTTTTCTTGCGTCTGTATTTTATAAACCACGTGATCAACCCTGTAGTTTATATTTCGATGGATCCTCACTTTCGAAAAACAATTAGAAAAAGATTTTATAGAATATTCAGTTGTAAATGTTGTTGAAACATTCATATTTTCTGTTTGGTAAAAAGTAAATCATACCGAACCTTGCACACCGGCTTGCATTTCATGGTTCAGAAAGTAGTCCCAACTTGCAGAGAAAATAACAGTACTGACACCGCTTAAAATTTTAATGGACAGGAGTCGGAACAGGAATGTTCCTGCAATTAAAACGTTTCAAAATACGTAAAATCAGCCTTGAAGTGTTTGTTTGTGTGTTGTTGTTTACATTAGCGTTATGATATAATGAGTAATTGGGCATCAAAATAGTTCCAATAATAATGATTAAATTGTTTTAACCACGTTTTTATGACAATGGCAAACAATCAATGTTTTTATTTCTGAACATCAACTTGCGCTTAAAATGATTCATTTGTTCCTTCTTAACAATATTATTGTCGTTAAGCCAATTGCAGAAGTGTTTTATGCGCGTGACGATCCCCAGATCAGGTAGTAGTAAGTAAAGGCTGGGATTTGTTGAGTTAATTTACTTCCTAATGTGACACCATTTGAATATAGAAAAGTTAAATGTAAATTATTTATTTGCTTATTTTTATGTTTTGAAAAGAAAGAAAAAATCTAAAACTAAACAGAATTTATTGTAGTCATAATCACATGACCGACTTTTGTTGAAAAATAGTGCATCCTCGTGTAAGAGATTATAATAACATTGTGATTATGACAATACAAGACACTTGACACTCGTCTATGAAACTAGAAAATAAGGTGCCCGTGTTCGATAGGCGTTTTATCCAAATGGCGATTTTGTTTTTTTTATGTATATAGACACTAAACATTTTCGTAGAAGTTCGCCATATTTCGAAACCAGTCGTAACGTACTCAATGAGCCATCTATATTAGACCGTTTTCTGTAGAGTGGCCAGTGCAATAACTTGGACATTCTCTTTGACGGAAATGTATCGCACATGGCGCTCGGCTATGAAAATCTTGCGAATTTGCCGAAGCCCTTTTTAAAATAATAAAATTCACTTGGCACTCGTCCAAGAATCATGACTGCTCGATGACAACGTAGCTTCGGTGTTAACTGGTGTAGCTATTTGTTCAGGCCTCAACTAACGCGGCGAGATAAACTATAGGTTTTCTCAAAGAAAATATACTATATTCCGAAGCTACACGACAGGTATACATCGGTCCGAGTTTTTTTTTTTTAGATTTCTTTGTTCCCAACAAGCAGGCGTCGAAGGGGTGAAAGGGTTTCATTTGGCGAACCGGGCAGCATTTTTTTTAAGGTATTATAAACTCCCCCAATTTTTCGTAAAAGGAAAATTTTTCCCTTTGGGCTTTTTCTTTTTACGAATAGCAGCGGAATCCGTTGGTTAAAAAATAAAGCATGGGGGTTTTTTTTGCCCCCCTAGGAAACAATTTTTCCAAATGAGATCCCCCGTGGGGGGGGTAGTTTTGCCTACGCGAAAAAATTTTGTTTGCTAGAAAGTATATGGTTTAAAATCAGCAAAAAAATGAAATGTGTTATGATGGGGGTCTAAAAAATGGGCTTTTACGAAAATTTTTCAAAGCCTTTGACAAAAGAAAAAACGCAAACACAAAGCGCCCAAGCAATAGGCCTCTCGGGCTTCCTTGTCCTTTAAAAGGGGGTCAAAAAACTATCGGTATTATGCGTAAAAAAAAAATTCCCAAAAAATTGCAATGCGAAATCCAACGGAATCCAGAAAAGGGTTTTGGGGGGTGGGCTCTAAAAAAGGGGCTTTTTTACGAAAATTGGGAGACTAACAAAGAAAAAAATCGCACCCTCCCCCCCCCCCCAAAAAAACCCCGGGTTTTCGCTCCATTTTCCCTTTTTTAAGCTTAGGGGTTTGTTGTAAAGAAAACTCAAAAAATTTGTAGGGCTATTCCGCAATGGAATTAAAAAGGGTTTTTGTGATGGTCGGCTCTAAAAATTGTGTTTTACGAAAATTTGAAGACTTTTTACAAAAGAAAAATTTTTCCAAACAAAGCAATTTTTAAATGGCCCCCCAAAATGTAACAACACCGCCGGTTTGAGGTCATTTTTTTTTCTTTGGTTTTAAAGGTTTGTTGCAAACTTTCCTTTGGCTACATTTAAGGGGAAACCCCTCCAATTATTTCTTGGTTAAGCAAGAATCGAGTGGCTCTAGAAATGTGCTTTTAACAAATTTTCAAAAGCCCTATAAAAGAATTTTTTTTTTTTCCACCAAAACACCCCCACTTTTGCGGGGGGGGGGGGTTTAGAGCTTTGGCTTTATATTCAAAAAAATTCCATTCTAATCGGCAATAGAATCGGAAATTGGATTTGCAAAAAATGGTGCTTTTTTTAAAAAAAAAATCAAATTCAAAATACAGAAAAAGGGGATCGCCACCCCAAAAAAGCACCTTTCCCCACGCGTTTGTGATAAAAACAAAAACTTTTTAATTAGTTTTAAAAAATTTTGGCCAATGCAGCGGAAAAACATAATTGGTTTTTTAAAGAGGGGCACTGAACATATTTATTTATGTACTATTATGCCAAAACACACACTAAAATCTAGAGTAAAAAGTAATTTTTATTTAAATCCGGCATTGGTTGAATTGTTACTTGGTGAAGCGGAATCTATTGTGAATTCTTACTTTAGGAGAATTTGGAAATGAAAATTTGTAAGAGGTAATTGCAGTACAGAAGTTACTGTAAATATTTACTGTATTTGTATGGTGCATCAAAATCCATAGTAGATTTTTTTAAAGTTGTGTTATTAGAAGCAATGCAAAAGTATTTTGTTCTTTTTAAAAATAATTAAGAATTTTTTTATAACACATTTCTCTCAATTTACACCACGACACACAAAATTTGTTTCAAAAATGGCATTTCAGTTCCTGTTTTTTTATCATATTCAAGGCCTTTGCGTGTATAACATAAGTAATTGAACATTTCGGTAACATTTCGATTTCGGAACATGTTTAATATACAAAATATACCAGTATTTTTTTTCTTGTTGGGGGGGGGGGCGTATGTCTCACAACACAGTATATGGCATATGGCGACTTTCCAGCTCTACTGGTAAAGCAGACCCCTCACGTGACCCTCTGTGGAGACAAAACAGGCCACTTCAGTAGAACCGCGGCGTTTAATCTGGTAAAATATACATGTCCAATTATCCTGAATCATAACTTGTAACTTTCAAATAAATGTTGATAGTAAAAGGCCATTATAGTCTAGTAGAACGTTAGATATACCAACTTGCCGAACTATACAAAATTTCAAAAGATATCTCAAAGAATACAAATACTAAATGAAAAGAATGTGTATTCCAACTCACTGATATGGATTAACTTTTCTTTTCAATGCATATTAAGGGGAGATGACTCAAAGAAATAAACACTTAATGAAAAGTATTTGTATTGGTTAGTAAGGAGGAAAAGATGAATAAAGAACTTATTATACATGTACATTTGTATACTGTATATCAAACTTGGCAAAATGATCCTCACAATTTTCTAAGGTCATAAAAGGAGGTAATTTAGAATAAAATGTTCATTTACATTGTGACTCTACTTATGGTATAGAAATCTTCAGGTTTTCCCTATGATTCAAATACATTTGGATTGACCAACATAAGTGCCTTCAGCGCTTTGATTTAACATTGATTAAAGTATCAGTTGCTTCACAAATGTTTTTTCTTTCCCAATTTCCTTAGGAATTTTTAAACAGGTAAACATTTAGTAATATAAATGATAACAGACATTTTTATAATTTTTGATATTTCAATTTAAAGAAAAGTAGTTAATAAACAATGAAAAGTTTTGAGTTTTTGAACAATTTTATTATCTTAATAATTCATCCATGATTACTATAATAACAACAAGAGACATTGTACTAGATTACACATCAAGTAAATATTACTCAATAACATGATTAAAATGATGACCCCTCAAACAGTGACCAACAGTTTCCAGCTATGATCCAGCATTCTCTTGATAGAGATATGATAAAATAGCTATGCTACATAATCTCTCCAAGGGTTGTAATAAAAGGTTGCTTGCAAACACTTTAAATAAGATAAGCAAAACCATTAAGAGTAATAATGCCAAGTAAGAATATAAAAAAAAAATACAAAAACATCACAAATGAAACAAATATACACCACAGTGATATTGAAATTGGCAACATATGTGGTACAATGGCCACATATTTAATAAATTGGCAACAAATGCCGTAATTGGAACATTTTGTAATAATAAGCCACAAAAAAGTATTTTTAGAAAATAAAATTTAAAGCACATACATAGTCTTTGTTTAATATGTTATAAAGACTAATTAATTTATTGGCAAAATTAGGGGCAAAGGCCACATATGATTTATTGGTACAAAAAGCCGTACAAAGGGCCCAAATTGTACATTTGGCACATAGTAGTACACTATCACATATGTACTACAATGACCTGAAAATTTTAATTGGCCACATATGTAATAAACTGCAAAATGTAGTACATTTTGAATAAATATAGTACATTAAAATTTAAAAAAAATGGTAGTACATTACAAATGTAATAAATCAAACACATATGCATAATTGGGCACATATGTAATAAAAATCTGATTTACTTCTTTTCATACCAGACAAGAATTTCTTGTTTGCATCAGTGCAGGAAAACATCATTTTACACATCCATGGCTTTAACTTTTAAGAATGATTGTTGGCAAATGAATTTTGTGTTTTGAACAGCAAATATTAATAAAGTTGGAACTACATATGCTTATTCAATGAAATAATGATAAATAGAAATTCTAAACAAAAATAATCAAACTTGCTGTTCTCAGACAGAAGAATATCCAAGGGGAAACTCAGAATAGCCTTAAACAGTAATCTTTGACCAATATGTCTTGTCTACAAGATTGACCCAAAACTTTTACAACTGCCAAAAAATGAAATGAACTTAATGAAAAATTTTCATAGTGGCAAAGTACTTCCATTTTTACAAAAAAATCAGACTTTCAAAAAAAATTACCCAATTTACTTTAAAGATTAAAATAATCAAACTTTAAATAACTTACCCGGTTTCATTTTTAAACAAATATATCAAAACATCAAACTTTCAAATCAATTACCGATTTTCACTTTAAAGCAAACATTTCAAAACATTAGACTTTCAAATCAGTCATCAAATTTCACTTTAAACATATTCAAATCAAATCATCCTTTTCAAATAAGTTACCTTATGCATGCTTTTAATACCTACACAATTACATATAAAAGTTGTTTGACAAGTTATATCACGATGCTGTATAAAAGGTCATTAGGAAAGGGTTACATAACAAACAACCATTTATACAGGGCCATGTAACATGTCAAAATAGATTTACAGATATACAATACAACTTTGATAGGAAAAAATGTATAGCTTTGCAGCATCCATGTTTATAATTTATCTTTACCATGACATCTTAACATTAAAATATTAAATGAATTTGTCCATCTTTCAAAATAGACTTAACCATTTATTATTTTAGGGCAAATTTCAGAATGTACTGACATTAACCAAAAGGTGCAGAACATGATCAGATGGCATTGATGTCTCAACCATCTTAAATATAGGACTTCTAAACCATCTAAAGTCTATGACTTCTTAACCATCAAAAATTTATTACTTCTTAACCATCTAAATAATTTTTACTTCTAAATTATCTAAAATGTAGGACTTCTAAACCATCTTAAATGTAGGACTTATTTACTATCTTAAATGTAGGACTTATTAACCATCTTAAATGTTGGACTTCTAAACCATCTTAAATGTAGGACTTATTTACTATCTTAAATGTAGGACTTATTAACCATCTTAAATGTTGGACTTATTAACCATCTTAGATGTAGGACTTGTATATTTATAGTATATATGGATGAAATTTTTTAAAACAAACTTCCTTTGTTGATTTATTGAAAATTAGATATTTTAAAAACATTTTGAATGAAAAAATATTTTATTAGTGAAAAAAAAAAATAAATAATAATAAGTGGGCGTGGTCATGTACATGTATACTATCCAAACCACGCACTGATTGCCTGTGCTTAAATATAGGTCTTCTAAATGAAGGACTTATTATCCATCTAAAATGTAGGACTTATTAACCATCTTAAATGTAGGACTTCTAAACCATCTAAAATGTTAGACATCTTAACCCTCTTAAATATTCAACTTCTAAACCATGTAAAATGAAGGACTTACTAACCATCTTAAATGACAGACTTATCAACCATCTTATATGTTGGACTTCTACACCATCTAAAATGTACAATGTCTAATCCATCTAAAATGTAGTACATGTACTTATGAACCATTTAAAATTTATTACTTCTAAACTATCTAACAGTTATAACTCTATACTATCTAATTATTATGAATTCAAACTATCTAAAATATACAATTTCTTGACCATCTAAAATGTATTTTAAATGTTTAACTAATGAAGGCATCTACATTTTATGAATTTTAACCAAAGTAAAATATATATCTTATTTACCAATTCTAAAATGTATGACTTTTATCCATTGTAAATCTTTGACTTCTAATCAATATGACTGCTAAACCATATAAAATGTACAAAGTCTTGTCCATCTAAAATGTATGATTTCTGTACTCTAAAAATATATCCAGTTCATATTGATAGTCTTCCAACATCATTGTCAGAAATATTGCACTTTATGTAAATTCAGTAAAGATATTTTTTTTTCTATCTAATTCTTATCAATGAGATATTTAAATATATCAGTAAGATATAAGTCATATCTAATTGTTTGAAACAGAAAGATTCCCAATAAAAGCAAAAATTTCAGAAATGTTTTTCTTAAAACTGTATATACATTCTTGAAAATATTTAAAAAAAATAGCACTCTTTAGTGAGATATTTATCATATCATTCACTCAATACAAACAAATATTCTCTATTAATTGTATATCATACAATAATCTCCACAGCAGTTCTAGTAATATGACAATTTGAATAAACAAAAGCCTAAAAAACATATATTCTTTTAATTCTAGCATAAATCAACTGAGCAACTTAAAATGGAAATATAGGCAAGAGATAATAAAGAAATATATTAGGAACTGATGAAAATTGATTTTTTTGTGTGCGATTCTTAGCCTGATTTGATATTAAAGCGTTTATAATACTCTTTAGTTTCAATCATGATAAAAAATGAATATTTTACATCTAATAATGATTATATGAGTGAATGAATTGCTTGCACAAAAGTATGAGGTAATACTAAAAGATACTGGCAGCATAAGTAAACACAGAAATATACCAAACATTACAATACAAATATAACTCTTCATGCTTTCTTTTTTAAAAATATGCTGTATTGTTATTTCCTGCATTTTTTTTAAGGTTATCAGGGAAATAAGTAAGTCTTTAAAATAAACAGTTCATCTGGGAAGTAATTAAAGCTTTAAAATGGACAATGTAGGTTTAAAGTTTATAAAATAGCTAATATATATAACCACTTCCCCGAAAACAACAGATTTGTTCTCACATAATGTGGTTTGAAATATGTAACTGTGATCTCTACTCCTTCCTTTTAAAGTCACATCAACATTTTAAAGGTCATATACAACTTTGGAGTCTTCATTGTAGAGGGTGACATCAGGTGCTCTTTTTGGTGAATTATTTTAGATTATTAGCAAGCACCTGAGTAGAATCATCAACACTTAGTGAGCAAGCTGGTGGACAGCTATCTGCCTTTGACAGAATCCCAAATATTCTACAAGATTCAAACCCATAGGGGTGTCAGACATGTGATTTGAAATCAGTGACATTAACCATTCAGCCTCTAACTCAATTCAATTCATTTTCCTGTATTTATAATAACATTCTACAAATCAGCACTTATAATGCCATTTTATATAAACACATATTCTGCACCAAAAAACATCAAATACCAGTAATGGTTACATGACAATTTTGAATTTCTTAACAAAAAAAGTAATATTAAAGAAAATATGAACAATTTCGCAAGTAAAAAATAATACATACAAGATCTAATTTACAATGCCTTTAAGGAAAAATTATATACCTACCTAAACACTATGTTATAAAATGAATACATGTATATAGATTCACTTTTAATGTACAATTCTAATTCATGAAAATTATTAAACACCATGCCTATACCACATGACATTTTTTGGTAAGTGTGGGTCAGGAAACCAATATTTATAAACAATAAACAACCAAAAACAACATCCAGGTGATTTTTTCTATAACTTTTTCAAATTTTTCATTATATTTTAATAGGATGGAGTGCAGTACCCTATTAAAATGGTGAGTAACCCATACATAGAACGTTTCTTGGGCAGAACCCCCCCCCCACCCAGGATAAAAAAAAAAATCATTCTATTTTCTGGATACTACATGTAGCTAAAATATGTGAGCTCTACACTCTATAAAAAAATAATGAAATTAAATTTATTAAGTTATGAAAAAAACAGGTATAAAGCCTGGACCATCTTTAGTATTGACTTTCTACCCACGCAGATCACAAGTCATATGGCAATACCACCGTAAATAAATCTATGAAAAATATGTGAACACAATTACATTTCCATTAAAGTAACACACAAATATTCTATAAATCAACAAACAAAATTGTTTCTTATCATATACCTTTAACCCTAACTATGCCAAGTATCTTAAATGGACTTGTCCATCTTTAAATCTGGACAAAACCATTCATCATTTTCAGGGGAAAATTTCAAAATGTGAACAGACTGAAAAGCGAACAGTGCAGATTATCCTCAGATGACAGGAATGTGCTGGCTGTTGAACATGGTCTGCACTGATCACATGGGGCAAAATCTGTTGCCGCCAGCACTTAAAATGTACACCACTGTACACATAATTGCCAAATTGCAAAATGTGGTCACATGATTCAACAATGTGGTAAATATTACACACAATTGACAAATCTTTTCACATGACACAGATAATATGCATAACACAAAGGTCATATTTGCAAGTGCTGTTCATGTAGATAGTATGGTCACAAGTTGAGGAACATGTTCTATAAGCAAGGATGAGAATAATCAAAACAATCAAGCATCACAACAATTAAAGCTGCCTTTGATTCTTCACTATGAACCTGAAAATATAAAAAGAATGAATCAAATGTAGCACTTTTATATATGTCGCACATACTAAGTAATAATTTGAGATTCTTAATTATTCATACATAATAAGTGTTTAGGGTTGAAAAATGGGTAACAAAAATATTAACTCTTTTAAATATTCTGGAACCAAAAGGTATTGGCCTTAGCCATCAGCATAGAGACATTCTGCACAACCATAAATAATGACAAGCCACCATTCAGTTGGTATCTTAAAGTGACATTATGCCAATTCAAGGGTATACAATGAGTGAACAGGTGAAAGTCAAAATAAGTTTATATATTGCCATAATCCTTTTAATTTTATAATTTACTTCACATAAACAATAAATAATCCACGGATCGAAACGGAATTTCTGTAAGTATCAATTAGAACTTACCTGAAACGTTCAGTTTATAAAAAGAGTGGGGCAGTCTTTTTATGTTTTAGGCAGATTTTAAATTTTATTCTAAACATTTTCCAAAAATAACTGTTGGTCAAACACCATTTTAACGGTCAATCTTTTGAAATAACAAGAGCTGTTGGTAGGACAGCATGTCGACTATTCTAAGTGCTTGATAGTAAAAAGGGCTAATTTTTTTTATAAATTCATGTTATAGGCCTTAGAGAGAGTCTAATTATACAGTATTGGCTTGACTATTCAGAAGGTAATGTCACAAGGGTGTTTTATTGAGTATAATAAAACTAATTACCTATGAATACATAAATTTGACAGAAAAGGTACAAAGGCTTCTAATTAAGATGTTTTATCAAGTAAATCACTGCTTTATTATTATGAATGCATAAAATTGTCCCAAAAAGGCACAAACCCTTAAGTAGTTATTGAGATAACAGCTTACAAGCAAAACTTTACCATGAATTTCTAGTTAAAAAAGGGGAGAAAAATCAGCCTAAATGCAAGATAGAATTATGGATCTTTGTCAGTGACCTACAATTATGACCCTAAATGCATATGTGAAGTTTTAAATAAATATCTTTAACAGTTATTGAGATATGTAAAACTTGCATGTAAACATTAACCAAGAGAATAAGTAGAAAAGGGGATATGAATCAGCCTTAATGCAAAATAGAGTTATGGAACTTGGTCAGTGACATACAATTATGACCCTCCAATTATGACCCTAAGTGCATGTGTAAAGTTTCAAGTAAATATCTTTGAAGACCTTTAACCTTTAACCAAAATTTCTTAGTTTCAAAGGGGGCAAATAATTCTGCAAATATTGCAGGCAGAGTTATGCAATTTTGCAACTGATGTACATTGTTACTATAAAAAGTATTTTAAATTTCAATTGAATATCTCAAGCAATAATTGAGATATTTGACTTTACAAAAAAACTTTAACCAAAATTTCTAAGTTCCAAAGGGGCATAATTCTGTCAATATTGTAGGCAGAGTTATCTAACTTGTCAATCTGATGTACCTTGTTACTATAAATAAGTATTGTAAGTTTCAATTGAATATCTCAAGCAATAATTGAGATATTTGACTTTACAAAAAACTTTAACCAAAATTTCTAAGTTAAAAAGGGGCATAATTCTGTCAATATTGTAGGCAGAGTTATCCAACTTGTCAATCTGATGTACCTTGTTACTATAAATAAGTATTGTAAGTTTCAATTGAATATCTCAAGCAATAATTGAGATATTTGACTTTACAAAAAACTTTAACCAAAATTTCTAAGTTAAAAAGGGGCATAATTCTGTCAATATTGTAGGCAGAGTTATCCAACTTGTCAATCTGATGTACCTTGTTACTATAAATAAGTATTGTAAGTTTCAATTGAATATCTCAAGTAATAATTGAGATATCTGACTTTACAAAAAACTTTAACCAACGCTGACGCCGACGCGGACGCTGACGCCGACGCCGGGGCGACTACAATAGCTCTCATATTCTTCGAATAGTCGAGCTAAAAAGTCAATTCAGCTCAACTTGACTATGACAATATGAGCATAATGTCACTTTAATATCTCATATTTAAATATCAAAATACCTGAAACTTTAGTTTAAACAAATCTATTTAAGTACAATTGTGTTAGAAGCTATAAGCTTATTGAAACACTCAAATCCATTCCTGGAACTAACCAGTACTTAACAGTCAGTTTTTTGCTCAAGGAAACCAGGGCTTGCCCGACGGGTTATGCCATGCAGTCAGCCACCCTTAGATTACTAGTGTGACACGTTAACCACTCGGCCACACATAGCCATGCATATATTTTTTTTTAAAGACGCACGCTAAATGTTAGCTAAAGGCACATCAATGAAAAACGATTCTTTTGCACTTAAAACAGTCTTTATTTTGGGTATGTGATACATTGAATATTATAATCGTGTTGGTTCATTACTGAATTTATTGAACTTGTTGAATAACATAATATTTTGCTTGCCAAAGGCTGGCATAATATAATTTTAGCCAACTCGTATCATAAATTTAATTTTGAACCTATACTCATTCAATGTCCTCTATATATAAGATAAAAAGATGTGATACCCCACATCCCCCTCAAAAACAAAACACAAACTAGTTAGAAATACATTTAGCATTCTAGAAACACTAATTAAACCAGATGTTTTTTTTTAACTAGCTGTCTTTTTGTGTGTTTTTTTTTAACTAGAAATCTTGTTCAAAGGAAATGTTGTTCAAAGGACACAGATGCCCCAACATTCCACTAATTTGTAAGTCTTGTAAGCCTATGACCTGAGAGCATGATAGACATACAAGAGCAAGTCTTCACCGAGTTAGTAGAACATCTAAGAAAGCTATGTGGATAGCTTACAGACAGTAAAATGATCTTACCTATATATTGTGACATCAATTCATCAGCTAAATCATGGCGGTTACCATCACGTATTGCCTGCATTAATATTTCTATCTTCTCCTCATTAGTACCTCCATTATTGTCACGCCACCTGTGAACAATAAATAATTTATCACATTCTGTGTGTGTTTGTTTAACTGGGTTTTACATTGCACCAACACAGTATAGGTCATTGGCCACGTTCCAGCTTTATTAGTGGAAGAAGACCTTAGATGCCCTTCTGTATGTTATTTCAAGCAAAAAAGGGCACCTGAGTAGAACCACTGACGGTCTGTAAGCTAACTTGATAGCTTTGTCACATGAAGGAATCCAAAGTCCCTGTCAGGATTCGAACAAACAGTGGTGAGGGGCAAGTGGTTTTAAGTCAAAGATCTTAACCAGTGGGCCATGGACACCCCATATAATTCTGTAATTTTGCTTATTGACAGATATGATATCTGATTACTGATTTTATTGAAATTTTTTTTCAATTTTTGTTTAATATTTAGTTTGATCTAGACAAAAATTCATTTACGTACTCAACACCACATTGAATATCTACAAAAGTATATTGATTTATGTCCTACCTAGAAACAAGATTTCTCGCAACCCAAAAATATAAACCATTGGAATGTTGGCGGTTCATTGACGATATTTTCATGATATGGGCCCACCCTCGACAGGAATTGTGATTCCTTCCTGGAGGCATAAACAGCTTTCACAAGTCAATCAAGTCCACTTACGAAGTCGACACAGAAACGGCTCACTTTTTGGATGTTACAATCATAAAAGACTCTAACGGGTACTTAAACACAAGGTATACACGAAACCCCCACTGACGATCACCTTACCCCCATTACTCAGCATATCATTCAGATCACCAGAAAAATGTAAAACTGTCTCATCAATAAACTAACCAAGGACTTGGCACAGTGCCAATTACCAGAACGTTCATGTTACTATATATAGTAACATACGTTCATTTTACATATCTGATCATTTTGTGTACTTTAGCTATTAATTTTCAATGTAAATTTGTCCTGAAGAAGGTCTATAGTGAGACCGAAAACCGGTTTGACCATCATTAAAAGCAGTTAAATCTACCCTGGTGTTGGTCGTTTTGCACCTCCTATATCCCGCTTTTTCTGTGTAAAAATTCATTTACTTTAGACATTTCGTTCATTTTTTGTTTCAACTGAGGCGTTGGATAGAGTCTTCCATAGTAAACAAGCAATTATCATAGTATTGCAAGCAATCCATAAGTCCCCTACCGGTTAGAACACCAGCAACATTCTGAAGGGCCATTGGCCATTCACTTATGTTTCTATTTTAAGTAAATTTGTTGTAAAAGTTCTTTAAAAGTGATCACAGGAAACAGATTTTATGTACAGACAGACGGACTGAAGGACACTCTACAGTTATTTTTTAAACATCCCTGTTATCAAAATATAACATTTTTAAAAGCAAAATTTTTAAAATGGAGAAAACTCTTGAAATAAAGATGCAAGATGTCATACATGATGTGAGTGTAACAAAGAACAATTAGTAATGAAGGTATGAATATGAATGTTTATTTTGAATTTGAAGTAAATAAAGTTAAAAGAAAAAAAATAAGAATAATTAAAAGTTTTAAGGAGGAGATAATTCTGGAAATATGGATGCTGGATTTATAAACCTTGTCATATTATTATGATGTGGGAGTTTGAAGAAAATCCTATCATGACTGGAGAAGTTGGAGTAAAAATTACCAATTTCTCGAAAAAAGTCTAAGTTCAAAAGGGGCATAATTCTGGAAATAGTCTTGCTAGAGTATTGAACTTTCTCACAAATGATGGGTGATAATAATAAACATAAATATGAAGTTTGCAGTAGAACATTCAGAAAAAAAAAAGTTATTAAAAAAAAACAATTTTTTTTTTCATGAAAATTTTAAGTTCAAGGGAGGTAATTCTGATAAATTTTGTGCTAGAGTTGTAAACTTTTGTCACATATGATGTGGTTGATTGACTAGCAAACTTATATTTAAAGTTTTGAAGAAAAATACTTTAAGAAATAAAGAACTTATAGTGAAAAAAATTTAAAAACTAGAATCAGAAATCTTGAAATTCAGTCTATTTGTTGTCATAGCAACCAGAACTTTCAACATAAGAAGATAAGAAAAGGATGTGCATATAATTTCCAGACTGCCATCTACCCACATGTCAAGTTTCATAAAAATATTTTCAGTACTTCTTGCGTTATCACTGTATCCAGGTTATGTGTAAAAATTGCCATATTTTCAATCTATTTGTTGCCATAGCAACCAGAATTTTCAGCATAGGAAACAAGAGCACCGATAGGCGGAGCATTATATGCCCGAAAGTGTTTTTTTTTAGTAAGGATGAAGCATTTGTAAGACATGGTAATTCGCTGTTCATCCTATAAAATTTTACAGCTGTAGGTTGATTAATACTTAAGTTATTAATAATGACCTTAACCTTTGACCTTGTGACCCCAAAATCAATAGGGGTCTTCTACCTAATATGGACATTCATCCTATGAAGTTTGAACACTGTGGGCCAAATGGAACTTTAAGTTATGCTCCGGAAACTGTTTCCAGTATCAAGGTAATATGTGACCTTGACCTTTGACCTTGTGACCCCAAAATCAATAGGGGTCTTCTACCCAATATGGACAATCATCCTATGAAGTTTGAACATTGTGGGTCAATTGGAACTTAAGTTATGCTCCGGAAACTGTTTTCAGTATCAAGGTAATAGTGACCTTGACCTTGTGACCCCAAAATCAATAGGGGTCTTCTACCCAATATGAACAATCATCCTATGAAGTTTGAACATTGTGGGTCGAATGGAACTTAAGTTATGCTCCGGAAACTGTTTTTAGTTTTAAGGTCATCGTGACCTTGACCTTTGACATTTTGACCCCAAAATCAATAGGGGTCTTCTACCCAATATGGACAATCATCCTATGAAGTTTGAACATTGTGGGCCAAATGGAACTTAAGTTATGCTCCGGAAACCAAATTGCTAACGGACGGACGGACAGACAGACAGACGGACGCCAGGGGGTATAACATAATATGCCCTTTCGGGCATATAAAAAAGAAAATGACGTGCATAATTTCCATACTGCCATCTATTCATATATCAAGTTTCATAAAAATATTTTCAGTACTATTTGCCTTATCGCTGGATCCAGGTTATGTGTAAAATTTGCCATATTTTCAGTCTATTTGTTGCCATAGCAACCAGAATTTTCAACATAGAATTTTCAACATAGGAAGAAAAGAAAAAGACATGCATAATCTCCATACTGCCATCTATCCATATATCAAGTTTCATAAAAATATTTTCAGTAATTTTTGCGTTATCGCGGGATCTCGTTTTGTGGACGGACGGACAGACGGACTGACGGACAGACGGACCCTCCGAGGGTAAACCTAAAGTCCCCTCCGATAAACCGGTAGGGGACTAACAAGGATGTGTAAAATTTCCATACTGCTGTCTATCCATATTTCAAGTTTCATACAAATATTTTCAGTACATTTTGCATTATCACAATACTTAATCTTGTGGATGGACGGACTGACTGAAGGACTTAAACATTAAGTCCCCTCCTGTTAAAATGGTATGGGACTAATAAGCTTCTGTCTTCTATAACAGATTCCAGAAATTCAGAAATACCATGTAAATGCAATAACATAAATAAATCTTTGCAGAGGAAAGGGTTTAACTTACTTTAAGAGTGCGCTGAGTATCATTTTATGTGCCCCCTCGTATTTATGACTAATCTGAATCTGTTCTATATTAGCCTGTGTAAGTCCGAGCTCCAGCGCCACCTGGTTCCACTCAAATCCTAACTTTGCTGCGATCCTTGACATCACCAGGTCAGATAATAGTCCTGTAATATTAAATACAAACTCCTCAGGTTTTATACAAAAATACAATTATGGCCTAAAGGAAGTATACACTAAGTCAAATAACAGTAAAAAAAAAAAATAATGAACTGGATTATTAATTCCAAGTTAATCTATCTGAAATGAAAACTATTTTCTACAAAAAAAAGCACACATTTAATATGTTATAAGTTGAAAACCCAGGATACCAAAATTCACAAATTGTATTTTTCCTACAAAATTCGGCAAATTCAATTATCAGTCCGATTCCTGTAAAATAAAATTTTCCATGATACCTCGATCTGGTTTCCAGGATCTTTTTGATGAATTTTCAATATTTGAAATTCTATGATATTTCCATGAACAGAGTTTTTTCCCTTCAGCCATTGAATTTTTGTAATGAATTCCTGTGTTTTGAATTTAGAACAGTTCATTCCAAGTTGCCGGGAGTGCAATATCAAGTGTAAAATAATTCAGCTACCACTGGTATAGAGCCTGGCCAGACTAAATAGGATGTGCAGGCATGCAAAGACTTATCACTTACTTTTACTTAAGTTTAAACATATTTATTTAAGCGTGATTGCGAAACAAGTTCTTGCAACTTATATCAATCAATTTCGAGTCTGCTTCCTGAAACCAACCAGTACTGGTGTCGTATGAAGAAACATGGTTGTCACCCAAATAGGGCTCAAACCCAAGATGCTCAAACCCAAGATCCCTAGGTTGAGAAGCAGACACCTTAAGCACTAGGCAACCGCTTCCCTTGTTACTTTTAGTTCTAATAGACTAAAGGTTATAGATAAAAGTTAAACAGACAAAGAAGAAAATCATGACATACCTGCACTGTCTACAGTGTCGTAGTTATTCCTGAGGAAGTCTGTTACAGTTGTTATATGACGGTTTATATCTTCTGATGGAAACTCTGAAACAGTTCATTGAAATATTACATTTACGATGTCCGGCATGTTCATCATTTTGTTTTCATTAATACAGATTTTTTTAATTTAAAGATAAACTATGCTCATCTTTGAGTAAAATATTTTAATCACAGAAATTAAAATTAATCAGAATCTATGAAATTCTTACTGAGTATGTCTACTTTAAATAAAACAATGAATAAACTATGCATGGGAAGCTACGTTTCCTATTACCAGTTAAGTGAAGTTGGTCTTTTTTTAAAAAACCCAAAAAAACTACCAGTTTTTTTTAATGACACTATATATTCTTAATATGAACACCTACAGTGTGTAGAGTTTTTAAAAAAAACATATCCATATTGTGTGAAGTCAAAAAATATTTTTATATTTGTAAAGAGACTGTCAAGCAATTATCATTATTTTCTAATATTTAATTTAAGCATTGTAAATCTTTAAATAAACAATAAATGTATCAATGTTTCATGTTTTTATTGCACTACTGAACAGTTTCATGCTTTTTGCAATCATCAGGTGCAAATGCAGCTGATTAAATAAGGGGGAATAACTTTTACATGATTTTACAAGATTTTTACAAAAGGGAGACTATGTGGATTATTTATTTAAAAGAATACAAATCCTCAAACTCCTCAAACATGTATTCTTCATTTAGTAAGTCAAAAACTTAAAACTAGAACCCTGAATCGGAGGCATTTTCTTCTTAGATATAGGTTATTTGTACAAGCCTAAGGGGAGTTGCTGCCGACCCCCCTCAACAAAAAATAACCCCTTTTATGTCCCAAATTTTTTAAAAACAACATAAAACCCCTGACAATATCTTCCTGATTTTATAGATATTAAACAAACTGGGATCTTTGTACTAGTTTTTGGACGTTTTCGTCTGGTAACCCAAACCCTTCGGACATTTAGCATCCAATATCTCACCTCGCCATAGATACGGGGGGTTGGTACTGGTTGCTATACAATGTGCACATACCATATATGGGTCAACCTTTACGAATGGCCACTCCTGTAAATGAAACATATAAACATGTATATAAAAAACATTTCGACAAATATTACGCAAAAAAATTTGCATGCCACAGCCGGTACTCAAACATGAGTCTCTGTATTTTTTAAATTTCAGTTCTTATTTGGATACGTGATAAATATATAGAGGATATTGAAGTATTTTTCTGTAACTAAAGGAATCATTTTCATCGACTGGTATAAAATATATATTTCATAAATGGCTGTAGCCTTGAGTGAAATATGATAATTTTCATACCATAGAAATACAGATAAAAGATTGAAAGCCAAAGTTTGAACTTTCATTTTGGTTAGTTTTAAATCACACCAACACTTTTAAAGGTCATATGGTGACTTTCCAGCTTTACTTGTGGAGGAAGACCTCAAGTGCGGCTACGTGCACCTTTTCTATTTACTTGAACAGGCACTAGAGTAGACCCACTGACTAGCTGGATAGGTTCTCTAGATGAAAGAATCCTAAGTCCCTTATGGGATTTAAACTCAAAGTGGTGAGGGGTCAGTGTTAAGATGACAACAACTTTAACCACTCAACCATTAATGCCCCACAAAAGTTTGAATAAAATATGAATAAATATAGAAAAGAAAGATGTCAAATAAGCTCCCAAATAATTAGCTTCAAATCTATGCAAGCTTTCTATCAGTAGCCAAAAACTAAACTCATAGCATGACTATTGCATCAGATTCTTTCCAATTATAAATATAGCAAAGGTGGCATGAATCATTTAACTGTATATTTTGTACTGGCAAAGCTATCTTTGTCAAAATCACGCCACATGACTGCTTACTGTAACCAGTAATAGACGCACTCTAGATTTAAGAATATTGTGTTTTTCCCAGCTAATCTGGGAGTACAAACACACTTTTACAGTTACGGCTTCGAAAGTAAGCACAACAGGTTGACTAATCTACTGTGACCAGATGTGCATCACAACACTGCAATGGTACAAGTTTGTTTCTTCTGGGTGATAAGCATGGTAAACTTTTCCGAGTTCTTGATAACATCTTTTGCAAAAGTGTGAATATTTAGAGGCAAAAGAAACACACCCACAACCTGTTTTTTAAAAGTTGAATGCCAAACCCTTACCCCAAATTGTATATGCATCTACAATTTCAAATATTATTTTATGTCATAAAACATATATTTTGAACACTTTGCAGTACGAAAATTACACAAAAAAATCGGCACACTGTAGCTGAGACTCGAACTATAAACAACCATTATATGTAATGACAATATTCACTGCAGGCCTTGTTTCTTATATAATTGCTACCTATAAACGGACGCAAACATTTGATTTGACAGAAAATTTCCGATCAAAATCATTTGCTTGCATTTATGTAGCTGTCGTTTTTCTTATTGTTTTTTTCCAAGAGAATCTTGTGATATTACAGTGAAACAAAAAAAATACCTAGTGTATTAAAAGCAATAAATACAAACATCATGCCCAATATGGACATTTTCTGCCCCTAAAAAAACTGATAATATGTACCAAGGCACTTCATGATAAACATTTTGCAAATATTTGGTTCAAATCCCTTGTAAAATGTGGGTGGAGTTTTACACAGAAGAAAATGTCTACACCATGCTGCCCAATGACATTCACCAAATTTATCATCATAATTTTCTGTTGGAAAACTAGGTTCAAACCACAAAATTTTTACCTAAATATAGTCTCCTCATACATACCTGTAACAAAGCCAGCATATCAGCTCTCAATGTTAAAATCAAGAACCACAAATCTTGCAGATCTGCACCTCTCACTGACAGAGTTATACAACTTAATCCCGCCGTTTTCTTCCTGGTCAACAGAAGCTTGCATTTATTTCTGCTAGCAAGGATGCCATCTTTCCAATCTTCTCTCTGAGTTACGTAACTCTGTAACCGTGCCGACATCTTCTCAAAGAAATTTGGTAAGCCCTTTTTTAAGAACTGCAGTTGATACCTTAATTCTATGATGTTAATTGGTACCTATAAAATACAAGTTTAAAGTGTCAATTTTCTGAGGTAAAGAAAAAGTTCAATATTAAAAGAATATTCTCACAGCTAAATAAAAGGTCAAAAAGTAGTTCATAAAATCTATTTGATAGGATTACAAAGGTTACTAAACAGTTAAGATAACTTAAAACATATCTGACACACTAATTAACTGAAGATTCTTTCCAGACTTTTAATCATACAGAAACATGTATTTAAAGTTTGGGTCTGATTACATCCTCCTAGAATATTGAATAAGTTCAACTAAAATGCATAAGTAAACTGAAACAGGGACTCTAAATTTTCAAACCCCTGCTAAAAGCCTGCCCCGCGAGGACATAAGGTATCTCCCCACACAACACAACGATCACATCCCCATTTCTTTTGCCAACAAATCAAAGCAACCATATTAACCCTGCAGTGCAAGGACTGGCAAAAAGTAGAAACACATTTCCTATACTTTCCCCCACCAATGTCCAGAAACACATTTCCCCTACTTTCCCCACCAATGTCCAGAAACACATTTCTCCTGCTTGCCCAGAAACACATTTCCCATACTTTCCCCCACCAATGTCCAGAAACACATTTCCCCTACTTTCCCCCACCAATGTCCAGAAACACATTTCTCCTGCTTGCCCAGAAACACATTTCCCATACTTTCCCCCACCAATGCCCCAGTTACAACTGACTAGTGTGTAATGTTACCTTTTCCGGCCATTTAACGGCAAAGTCTGCTGGAGGTGTACAAGTTAGAAACCATGGAAACTGCAGGATTTGTTTCGAACCCAAAGTTCCTGGCGCACTGGTTGGGTCTTTCACCTGATAATAATGTAAGGATAATGATTATATATGTTGTTATGAACATTTCTTGCACAATAGCCAAATTTAGCACCAGTTTCAATAATATTTCAATCATCTGCTGGCAGACAGTTCATTAATCCCATGCTCCTTGATTCTGTACCAGTACAAACTAGTTTTTTTTTACAACTACCAATTCCTCTACTTCAATAGCAAAAGAGATAGCACATAAGATGCATCGATAAGAAAATCTTTACCTGGTAACATCAATTAAGTATACCATTTACCTGGTTACATCAATTAAGTATACCATTTACCTGGTAACATCAATTAAGTATACCATTTACCTGGTTACATCAATTAAGTATACCATTTACCTGGTAACATCAATTTAGTATACCATTTACCTGGTAACATCAATTTAGTATACCATTTACCTGGTAACAAAGATCAAACTTCAGCATCAAGTCCATGAATGTCTCCTGTGATTCTAGACTCAAGTTAAAATGCTGTAAACAGTAACTCAGCAGATCATTTGTCATCAACCCTCGCTGTAAGAATTCTTCTTTCAAACTTGTAAATCTCACCTGAGACAAACCTATAAATAGAAATATGAAGCCCATATTTTCTTAACTATATTTCCTTGATCTACATATATATATATGAATATCATTTGGCCGAGTGGGAAACATTGATATTGTCAACTGGTTAACAGAATGTCGTTAGAAAGGCAAAAAACTGATGATATTGGTTTTATTATATCAGGCAAATTTATTTCTTCTGTTAAGTAACTACAAGGGAGGTAATCAGAGAATAATTTTGACAACAGTTTGACAAAAAATTTAAGTATAAATTTGATCACACCCCTAGTCAAACTAAAAATATTAACAAATCTTTTGGATGAGACTTTAAAACAACTGAGATCCCATGTAATGGAGCTTTTTAGCCACCATATCCACTGTATCCATTGCATTATGCTCCATAAAATTAACAGTTTTCTTGACTAAGTTGCACATATAGCTTTCTGTGTGGTAACTATTAACAAAATCAACTATAAATAAACATATATCACACACATATATAAAGTAAAGTAAGTACACATGCACTACATACCTGTCATCTGGCCATACGTATCTACGTAGTTAACTACCTCTCTAAAATCGTGTCTAAATATAGCTCTCAACATTTCAACGAGGGTCTCCGGGTGATGGAACACGATATTACGTAGCTTCGGATTATCGTGATACCAGACGATCTCTCCTGTAAAATAAATTATACAACGTCATATTGCATGAGCTGTCATTGACATAGATGATATCGATATCAATGAATCCTCAATATTTTTCTGTTGATCAATAATCGATACACAGTTTATCAATAGTTTTGATTAATTATCTACGAATTATGAAAATTAACCCAAACCATATACAGAGGCATGTGTCCATGTCTAACACTAAGCTGTTATTACATAACGAACACATTTCATATCTGTGATGACAAAAAAATGGTCAGAAAAAATTATGATATTTATAAACAGGACAAAACATATTTGTATGAACAGAACATGTATTTTTACTAAAATCATTTAACCAGGTATGAAAGTGAATTATATTCAAGAAATTAGGTGTAATTATGTATGTATTTATCGCCAAAACTTGTCAATCGATACTGTCAGTATAAATCAATGACAGCTCCACATATTGCACTGAAATTAGAAGTGTCAGGTCACTTATCAGCTTCAGAAAGTGGCCTCCCTCAAGAGAGGCACCAAAAACACACAAGCTTTCCCTTATCTTTCATTTTGTTGGTCTTAATCACGTTTTAAGTCACACAAAGATTTTAAATGATGTATGGTGACTATCCAACTGGTGAAATAACACCACAAAAACCTCTCTGTGTATTATTTCAAACATAGAGTAGAACCACCAGCCATTCATCAGCTAGCAGAACAACTTCCTCACATGACAGAATCCAAACATTTTGTTGTGGCTCAAACCCAGAGCAGCAAGGGGGCAAGTGGTTTTAAGTAAGCAGCGACCTTAACTTCTCAAAAACACAGCCCCCATAGAGCTTTTTCTTAGACATGGCAGCAATTTATTACCTGTTACATGAAGATAGCGTAACACCATTTCAAGACTCTTCTCTGCTGACCCCTGCAACATATACATGGACTGTTTCAATGTGGCTATTATTGACTCAAATATCTCCAGTGTTTGCGTCCAACTCAATATCTTCTCCGGCCTTTCTTGTATCGCAGTAAGGAATTTAAACCAGGACGTTGGCAATGGCTGACCTTCAGATGATTTCAAGGTGTCCGTCAGACACTCGTGAAAGTTTATAATTCCTGAAATGTACATGTTGAATTTGATTCGAGTGAGACTAAAAAAAGATTGGAGCACCACACTAAATACCGTATTCCGGTATATACCGGACAAGGCGCTTGAATGATAAAATGCTAAAATCTTGCCTTCGTACCCAACGGAATGAACTTTAAAAGGTCTGATTCATCTTTTCACACTGATTTTTGTATATAAATGCATGAAAAGTGTAATAATCAGGGAAAAAAACGATATTTGTTTATTTTGTGATCATGAATTTTGCAAGCGTCTGCTCCAATCCTATAATGAATTAAATCCATTTGATTAGAGTTCCTCTTACACCAATAAAAAGCCTGGATAAGACTCTATCAGAGTTGGCTTTAATCTTTTTTTTTTAAAGAAATTCATTAAAGGGAATTGGTTCATAATAGAAAGTCTGCAATATCATTAATAATTATGTTGATAGTATTAAGTAGCATACCTGACAACCATGAAAATTTTTTATATGGATTTTATTGGTTACTGTGCGATACACAATCCAGTATGCTGTATCTATATTTAAATTGTCCGAAAACAAAATATTGATCATCATGTAAATGTTCATTCTTAATTACTCTGAACTCTAACAACTTTTCGTTCAAGAAATATTTTATAAGAATATCCAAATAAAATATTTCTATTGGCTTTGATCAATATCGACAGATAAGCAAACTGTGCCAAAAATAATCAGACCTCACAGATGTGCACTGAGGACAACAATCAGGCGGCACAAATGTGAAGACAAATCTTGGTCAGCACAGATAGATTAAGTTGCAGACAGCAGGCTAAGGGTCTTTTTGACAGTACCTGACAGGGTCTCTGCGCAGCTGACTACAAAGATCTCGGTTGGAAGTTTGATCCTCGTAATATGCAGTTTCTGCATCTTGTTTACACGTTCCTGTAACCGCTGTGTCACCAGATCAGGGAATTTCTGACCCGATTCTTTATGAGCATCAGTGAGTTTTCTCTGTTCTATCCTTAGATTCATCTCCAAATCCTGAAACATATACCATACCATTTCTATATGCTAAAAAAAACATATAACATACTATTTCTAAGTCCTAAAATCAGATATCATACGGTTACCATTAGTGAAATTATGCCCCTTTTTTGCTCATGTTGAGTTGAATGAGTAATGTATTTCAAGATTGATTTTTATAATGATTGATAATGAGAAATGTCCAACATTATCCTTTATAATCAAGCATATACCATACAATTTCTGATTTTTGTAAGGCATGCACCATACTGTCTCTTAACTCTTTTAATTTATGCTATACCATTTCTAGATCAGTAGCAGTTAGCATGAACACCCCCACACTGTTATATGTCAGACCTGATATTTATACTACGCGACCAGCAGATCAGTATGACAGTATGACAATAAACTAAATATGTTCAAGCAAACTACCCCATGTGCACAACCTACACATGCTGACCAACATTCTCTGTAAAGTTTCATAGCTCTAGGTAAAACTACTACTTTTAGGGGTACTCACGACACAAATTGAAAAACTGCAAATTTTTTTACTAACATAAGGGCAATAACTCAACAAATATTGAATAAACAAGATTGCATTTGAGAAAAATGCTATGCCACCGCATTAATAACAACACTAAATAGTGTGTGTAGGAATAGATTTTTTTTTGTTTCTTCTACAATTGAAGATTGTCATAATGCATAGATCCCTGACCTATCTAATTCTTATTATCAGATTAGTGTTAAATATATTGTTATTCCAATAAAAGATCAGAGTAGGAATATACCAATGCACTTGAGTCTAGTGAATTCGGTGGTGAAGCGTGTCATATTTTCACACAGCTTAAATTTCACGACTACATCAAAGACAACACAGAAAGACACTTTGTCAAAATCTAGGTCAGCTGATATCAAAAGTTCACTTTACATCTTTAATCTGTGCACATGTTTTCATAGCTGTCCATCAAAGGACAAGAAAGTAGGTCACATCATCAAAATCTAGGTCACCTGAAGTCAATTTTACAACTAAAACTGTGCACATGGTCAAATTTATAGCTGTACATCAAAGGACAAGAAAGTTAGGTCACTGTCCCCTTGGGGCAAGGCCAAGGGTTTCATTCAAAACAATCTTGATACAGGTCCACCAAACAACATTTAAGTCAATATATCTAAGGCTGTAGCTTTCTTCCCATTTTTTACTTTACATTTAAGGAAAAACCTATGGCCCCCAGGGCAGGGCAATTTTGACACTAGTGGCAAAATTTGAACAACTTTGTAGAGTACCTTTAGATGATAATCATTTAACAAAATTTAATATTTAAAGCTGTAAGCCTGTACCTTCAGACAATAAGATTTTTTATTTTTTACTTATATGTATATATTGAAAATCAATGACCCCCAGGGCAGGGGCAATTTATGACCCCAGGGCTATAATTTGAACAATTCTTGCTAGAGATCTCTTCACAAGTTCATGCAAAATATCTAACCTCTAGCATTTGTCATTGCTAGAAGAATTTTTTAAAGTTTTTACTATAAGTTTATTACTCATATACATATAAGAAAACCAATGACCCGGACAGGGCCGTTTTTTGACCCAGGGCCCATATAATTTGAACAATCTGGGGTAAGGTTACCAGACAATGCTTTGCAAAAATATCTAAGCTCTAGGCCTTTGGTGTCTTTAAAGAAGATATTTTAAGTTTTTACTATATGTACATATAGTGAAAATCAATGACCCCGGGCGGGGCCAATTTTGAACCCCAGGGCTATAATTTGAACAATCTTGCTAGAGATTCACTTCACAATGTTAATGCAAAATATCTAACCTCTAGCATTTGTCAATTGCTATGAAAAAGTTTTTTTTTTTTAAGTTTTTACTATAAGTTTTTACTCTATACATATAAGGAAAACCAATGACCCCCGGGGCGGGCCGTTTTTGTCCCCAGGCTATAATTTGAACAATCTGGTACAGGTCTACCAGACAATGCCTTATGCAAAATATCTAAGCTCTAGCTCTTTTGAGTCTTTACAAGAAGGTATTTTAAAAGTTTTTACTATATGTACGTATAGTGAAAATCAAATGACCCCCGGGGCGGGGCCAATTTTGCCCCAGGGCTATAATTTGAACAATCTTGGTAAGGGTCTACCAGACAATGCCTTATGCAAAATATCTAAGCTCTAGGCCTTTTGGTCTTTACAAGAAGGTATTTTAATTTTTACTATATGTACATATAGTGAAAATCAATGACCCAGGGCGCCATTTTGACCCCAAAGCTATAATTTGAACAATCTTGGTAGAGGATTCACCAAGACAATCCTTATGCAAATATCTTAAGCTCTAAGCTTTGGTCTTTTACAAAAAAAATTTTTTAAATTTTTTTCTTACAATTCCCCTTTGGTTTTCCTAACCAGATTCGCATGAAAAAAATTCTTTGAACAATTTGGAAGCCCTTTCCCCCCAAAGGATCAATCCTCCCTTTTTGGGGGAAAATTTGGGACAATTGTTTTCACAAAAGTTTTTTTTAAATTCACCTATATAATCTATATAACACACAAAAAAAAAACACACCAACAACGGGTTTGAACGCTATATCCACCGCATCCAAGGGGTGCATAATAAAAATTGAAACCCCAGGGCAAAATTTTACATGAGATCAACATCCTGAAAGTTTAACTCTACCCAAAATTTTCAGAACTACTTTTAACAAATTGAACCCTAGCAACACACAAAAATACAGACAAGGGCAAATCTAAATGCACCAACCCCCTAGAAGGGCATAAAAAGTTTATGAAGGCCACAATTTTGCAAAAAAATTATAATGTTTAAAATACCGATTCTACCTTTTTTTAGATCTTCCTCCTCAGCATTCTGCCGGATATACATTCATCTTTATTTTTGATCTTTTACACATTTTGCATTTTCCCACCAGATTATAATCACCTGAAAAAAATTTAAAAATCCCCTGCAAATGGACTTAATTGGAAAATAGAGTATAAATTAAAAATTTGAAATTTTAAAATACATATCTGTAAACTTTAAAACAAAAAGATTAAAAAAAATATTTAAATATTAATTTTAGCGACCATTTAAAATGACCAATCAAAACCTTATAATAACCAGTCAAGTAAAAGTACCTGGTGCCCGGTCCATTATAGAATCTAGCCAATCGCCGATCTTCAGGTCGTAGTCTCCAGGCACGTATGTGTTCATGTCAAACACCAGTATGTGTAGAGCCTCGGGTGTCAGGAACATGTGATGGGCAGCTGAGTAGATGTGATGACCCCCGAAATCTAATATCTGAACCCGGAGGTCAGGTTCTGGCTCCCAAAGATGCTGAAATTCAGACAAAAGAATGTAACACAAACTCATCAAAAGCTGGTAAAAGGATAACCTTTAAAGGTCAGAAATAGCGTAAATCATACAACACAACTCATAATAAACTAAAGTTCAACCTCTGCAAAGGTGTCATTGACTGTAATTAATAAATGGTCAGCATAAAATGAATCTGCCAACAGGCCATTATTAACTCCACTTAGCGCTCAAACATCATGAAAATTACCGTTAGATACCAGGTGATAAAGACTACAGGATTCGGTGAAACAATTTTGTTGCTGATTAATGCAAACTCCCCCCGACCACACCTCCAAATGAAAAGTGTCCTGGAAATTAGCCTAAAAATTATGAAACGTATGTTTACTGACAGAGAAAGATCTTTGGTAGTGGTAACTCCTCTTATATCGTTTTTGAACAATTTTTTTTTCTGTAAGATAGTTTGATATTCCAATTATCAAATTCAATGGTCATGAGTCTTGAAGTAAAAGTTAGTTTCAAGTAAAAATATCTATAATTATAAACAGAGATAATATACCTGTTCCATGACCCACGTTCTTTCATGTTCTGCTGTAAGTCGTGATTTTCCGAGAATTAAAACATTGCGTAGACTTGATTTGCCGGCCTTCGACGCACCGATCAGGATCAGCTTCTTCCTATGAGTGGCCTCACAAATTCTCAACTCCTGAATAAAGTAATAAAAACATTTTGTATTAAAAATAAGTCTTAATAAGATTTAATGTTTTAAAACAAAACTTGCATCCTAAAAACAGTTCATGAAGGTAAACAATACTGTAAGAGAAAAAACAAGTTAAATATTGTTAATATCGTGAGTTACATGTATCTATATTAGTGATGTTCCTATTGTCGCAAGTCGCCGATAATCATTTACTGTTATGTAAAGCGACAATAATCGATTTACAAAAAAATTGTTCCGCGGTCGAAAATGCTTACTGCAGTAAAGTATCAAAGGGAATTAATTCTGACGTTAATTTTCTTTAAAGAACACCTCACCGATCGCAAAAAATCATCTCAGAGACAATTTGGAGTTGAACAGGATCAATAAGTGAATGTAATCAATAGTAATATAATGTGATTTGAATGTTATTATTTGACATCCATTGAAAAATAAAATCTATTTCGTAAATTATGACTATATAAGGTTAAAACTATGTTGAAAAGTGGAAAATGAAGTTCATGTTACTGAATGTTATCAAGTGGCACTTAGTGCCTTGGGAAGATTGGGAAGAAATGATACTTCCCTATTTCTTTTTAACGCGACTTTATTCAAAAAGTTATCGATTATGTCCCATCCGACTTAACCGATGATCTATTGGGACAAATTTCATCCGATTTCCATCACTAATCTATATTAACCCTTACCCAGCTTTTTTTATTGGGTTTTATGTTGCACCAACATAATATTGCTCAAATGTCAACTGTCTAGATTTACTGGATGAGGAAGACCTATGTACATTATTTCAGGTACAAACAGGCACCTGAGTAGAATCATTAATGCACTGTAAGCTAGCTGGACAGCTTCCTCATATTTACAATGTAGAATACAACAACATGTGCGTGGCTCAAACCTATAACAGTGAGAGGCAAGTGGCTTGAAGTCAACAACCTTTACCACTAAGCCATGGATGCCCCCCCCCTTCACTCTGCTGAAACTGAAAGTGACTACCCTTTACCATCAATATCTTACTAGACTGTTGCCTAACTTAAAATTTTCATATTAATATCCCCAAAAACTGATAATGTACTGTTCCATAAAGTGGAATCTGAACAAGTCCATGTACAGTTTTAGGGTAAATGTAAGATGATTCTCCAACCTTGAGGTAACCATAGAGACTGTCCACTCCCTGATCACAGATACTTTGAGGGGGTTTCACCAGGTTGTTGTTGTACAAACTTAATCTTCCGGTCTCTCTCAACTTCTCTAGTTTATCTAACATTAATGGCAGTCTCTTTAACTGGTTTCCTGAAAAACATCAGTTAATGTTATCATGTAAATAATTAACACCTTAGGTAATGAATAGACAATTAATGGATAATAAAACTTTAAATTCTGTATACATGTGTTTTCACCTGATATATGAATAATACATTTTATATAAACACATGAACTTACTATAAATATATTTTTCTAATTTTTTTTATTTTCTTTATTTTTTTTAAAAGATTAATTTTAATCATCTGGAGGCTTTAAGTCAATATAATCACATAAAAAAAGATCATGATTTGATACCCTAAGCATTCCTTACAGAGCAAGTTCAATACACTAACTTTCCACTTGTTCAAACCTCTCTGTAGAGGGAAATTTCACGAGACTTTGTGACAAAAATCACGAATTTGTGTCTAATCAAGTACAATATTTCTCAAGACTTTAAGAATTAAATAAGAATTTATACCCAATCTCAAGGACAAAATTTCATGAGACTTTGAAACATAAACAAGAATTTTTGTCTAATCAAGGGCAGAATTTCACAAGACTTTGGAACTTACAATAAGAATTGTTATCAAATCAAGGACAAAATTTCATAAGAGTGTAAGACACAGACAAGAATTGGTATGGATTTAAAAGACTTTAACATTAACATGAATTCAATTGGAATCAAGACCAAATTTTAACAAGATTTTGAGACAAAAACTAGAATAATACCACAAGACAAATCAAGGCAAAATTTTTAACAAGACTTAGAAACTTAAACAAGAATTGCTGTTGAAACAAATACACAATTTTAAGATACTTGACATGAACAAGAATTAGTCCCACATCAAGGGTAGAATCAAGTTGAGGATATCTGATGAAATCTGAAACCTACCTTCTAACATGAGTTCTTCTAATTTGTAGAGTTTAGAAATATCATCGGGCAATAACTCAAGCTTGTTGTAATGCAGCTGTATTTCTTGAAGCTCTTCACACTCGCAAATCTCCTCCGGTATTTCTTTTATCTTATTGCAAGCTAAATATAAGCATTTTAACGTCTTTAACTTATTAATACAATGAGGTATATCCTCTAAATAATTTTCACACAAATCTAATGCCTCGAGACTCTCCATTTTGAATATTTCATCCGGTATGCGTAGCAATGCATTCCTCCGCATTATCATCTTTTTCAATTTCTTCAAGCCTATTATATCCGGTGAAATTTCCGTGAAGTAATTATTTGTAAGATCTAAAATTCTAAGTTCGGGTAACGTAAAAATCTCTGGTGGTATGTAAGAATTGAGTTTCATGGCTCCAGTAAGGTCTAGGTACTGGAGCTTGCGGCACTCCGATATAGACGGCGAAACATGTTTCAAGTAGTTGCCCCTCATACGCAATGTCTGAAGTTTCGTCATATTTTTAACATCGTCGGTTATGGTAGATACTTGGTGCCAGCTTATGTCTAGATAAGTCAGCTCGGTTAAGTAACACACTGCTTCTGGTAACACCTAAAGAAAGTTATATAAATATAGTTATACTAAATCATACAATATATTTAAATTATATGATAATCTAAATATCTGAGGGCTAGAGCCTGTCAGGTACATATAGGAGAATTTTGCATCATTCTAAGACAAGAGGGCCATGATGGCCCTAGATCGCTCACCTGACCCATCAAACTCATCCAAACAATTACCTAGACAAGCATTCTGACCAAGTCTCATGACAGGTGAGACAAAAATGTGACCACTACAGTATTAACAAGGATTATCCATATTTGAGCAGTGCGACCTAGTTTTTTACCCAGGTGACACATATTCAAACTTGACCTAGAAATCATCAAAACAAACTTTCAGACCAATTTTCAGGATACTTGGATCAAAACAGTAGCAACTAGAGTGTTAACAAGATTTTTCTATTTTTAGCTCCGGTGACCTAGTTTCACATGCGATTTCAAACTCATCCAAGCAATTACCTAGACAAGCATCCTGACCAAGTTTGATGATAATTGAGTCGAAAATTTGACCACTAGAATGTTAACAAGGTTTTTCCATATTTAGGCAGTGTGACCTAGTTTTTCATCCAAGATGACCCATGTTCGATCTTGACTTAGAAATCATCAAAACAAACTTTCAGACCAATTAACAGAATATTTGGATCACGACAGTAGCCACTAGAGTGTTAACAAGATTTTTCTATTTTTAGCTCCTGTGACCTAGTTTTTCATCCGAGATGTCCCATGTTCGATTTATTCCCAGCAATGACCTAGACAAGTTTCCTGACCAAGTTTAATGACAATTGAGTCAAAATTGTGACCACTAGAGTGTTAACAAGGTTTTACTATTTTTAGCTCTGGTGACCTACTTTTGCATCCGAGATGACCCATTTTCGAACTCATCCGCGCTATCACCTAGACAAGCATCTTGATCAAGTTTGATGATGATTGATACAAAAATGTGACCGCTAGAGTGTTAACAAGGTTTTTCTATTTTTAGCTCCGGTGACCTACTTTTTCATCGGAGATGACACCTAGTTCAAATTCATCCGAGCTGTCACCTAGACAAACATCTTAACAAAGTTTGATGATGACTGATGCAAAAATGTGACCACTAGAGTGTTAACAAGGTTTTTCTATTTCTAGCTCCGGTGACCTACTTTTTCATCCGAGATGACCCATGTTCAAACTCATCTGAGCTATCACCTAAACAAGCATCTTGACCAAGTTTGATGATGATTGATGCAAAAATGTGACCGCTACAGTGTTTACAAGGTTTTTCTATTTTTAGCTCCGGTGACCTACTTTTTCATCCGAGATGACCCATGTTCGAACTCATCCAAGCTATCAACTAGATAAGCATCCTGACCAAGTTTGATGATGATTGATGCAAAAACGTGACAGCTAGAGTGTTAACAAGGTTTTTCTATTTATAGCTCCGGTGACCTAGTTTTTCATCAGAGATGACCCATATTCAAACTCATCCGAGTTATTATCTAAACAAGCATCCTGACAAAGTTTGATGATGATTGGGTCAAAAATGTGACCACTAGAGTGTTCACAAGGTTTTTCTATTTTTAGCTCCTGTGACCTAGTTTTTCATCAGAGATGACACATGTTCGAACTTATCCAAGCAATTGACTAGACAAGCAATCTGACCAAGTTTGATGAAGATTGGTTCAAAAATGTGACCACTAGAGTGTTCACAAGGTTTTCTATTTTTAGCTCCGGTGACCTACTTTTTCATCCGAGATGACCCATGTTCGAACTCATCCGAGCTATCATCTAGACAAACATCCTGACCAAGTTTGATGATGATTGGGTCAAAAATGTGACCTCTAGAGTGTTCACAAGGTTTTTCTATTTTTAGCTCTTGTGACCTAGTTTTTCATCCGAGATGAGCCATGTTCGAACTCATCCGAGCTTTCAACTAGATAAGCATCCTGACCAAGTTTGATGACGATTGAGGCAAAAATGCGACCGCTAGAGTGTTCACAAGCAATTGTGGATGTACGACGGACGGACGACGGACATTCACTGATCCTAAAAGCTCAACCTGAGCAAGCTCAGGTGAGCTAAAAAGGGGGAAAATTTTTGTCTGTCAACAACAATATTCATAACTTGTTAAGTTTTATAAAATTTATTTTCCAAACAGTAAATTTCAGTGGGATATTGTTACAGCTTTTTTCATTTTGGGTAATTTTGTTTTGCAAAATAGAGGGAAAATATACAGAGAATGCCTGTGACTTTTCTCACTTAATTGGGAAGAGGCCTTAGCCTCTTGATTTTGGGAAAAATTATCGCTAAAAGTGTTGATTTGGGAAGTAAAAAAGCTGGTTTAAGTTCAGATTTTTGGGAAAACTGCATGATTTTTAAGAAAATTTCAATTGTGAAGAGGCCTTTTTCAGAGTCTGTTACATAAGTAGGAAAATCACCGAATGGGTAGTGAATGTGGCCAAATTTCAGCACAAAAATTGTGTTTAAATATTATTTTAACCTTAAAGACTTGAAATTCAATTGGTCACAATCAATCAAATTAATTGACAAATAATATATACATGTATTTAGAGTTACTTAGAATCATTTAATGCCTTTATTTCAAGTCTAGAAACAATAAAAAATAAAATAATTATATATTTTTCATTTAATATGCCATTATGTGGATCTAGTTGAGCCAATGACAACAAACTTTTACCTGAAATCCACCCTTAGGGTACCATTTTCGAGACAAGTCAAGTCTCTCAAGCTTTTCACATTGTGCCAACTCAGCAGGAAGCTCATCCAGTAGATTCCCACTCAGGTTCAGTGTTTTTAACCTTTTAAGATTCCCAATAGATGGGTGTATTGCAGACAGCTCATTTTCACTCAAATCAAGCTCAAGTAAATTTGACAGCTGGAATATGGCTGATGGAATCCTTTCTAGATAATTATAACTCAGGTTTAAGCGCACAAGATTCTGACATTTTCCAAATGAATCTGGTAGGCGTGTTAAATAGTTCCCAACTGCATTGAACGTTTCCATGCCGACCAGATTTCCAAGACTGCTTCCCCCTACTGGAAATGAGAGCAGTTTGAGGAACGGGAGACAGACATTGGCACAATTCATTTCGTACAAACATCTCGGTACCCATCCTTTGTAGCGACCCTCAGGAACCACAAGGGACTGTCTTCCTTTCGGATCATTGGTTAGGAACTGCCTCAAAACTTCTCCCTGATTAGTTGTCGTTGTCATTTTTACAACTTGAACTGAAAGATCAATAGTACAGCATTTCAAAGTAAATCAAAGACTTATTATAACCATTATATTATGCATAGACTACAGTTCAGTTATTCGAATCCATTTACTTGTGTCTTATTGTTGCAGGGTCATTTTTAGCATATTCCCCGTTATTAGTAATTTACTACTTCGCTACCTGTTCCTGTAACTTGATAATTGTTTCTGTACCGTTTGTACGGGTTTTATCGTTATTTTCTTGTCACGTTATCAGTCACGTGATCACTCTATTCTATGATGTCATGGTTGTTTGTGTACGCATGAAATTGTACTTTGGCGCGAGATAAGTTGGTTGTATTTCTCGATGTTTTTCATCTCTATTATCCTTGAGAGGTTGTTGACTTATTTATTCAAGGTGTACTATCTCAGTAAGGTATAGTGCAATGGCTGAATTGATGTATTTATGTATTTCGCGTGTTGTTTAGTTTATTTATTAAAGGGAAATGCCGGTCAGACTGATCTGTTTTCCAACTTGTTATTTCACACTTGTGCATGTATCATTACATTGTTTACAGCAGTTAACATCACAGTGAGAGGAAGCAGTGTTGTGTGGAGAGAGAATTATATCTATTATCTATATAAGGCAGTGGTCCCATAGACCAGTAAGTGTAACCTTATTTTATACTTTGGTTCAGATGAACCTGATAACATAGCCACTTATAATAACCATGACATGTATGTGTAAAATATGTTGATGTATCATGTATTCATTTTATTCTTAAATTAATAGCTTATTATAATTGTTTGTAAAGAATATAGAGACATATGTATAAATGGCAATGATTTACTTCTATGATATTAAGATTATGATATATCAGACTTCCCGAAAGTTGAAAAAAACTGTCAGACATTCGGTCTGACAAACCATGAAAATCTGTTGGACCGAAACAAAATCTGTCGGATCAAATAAAATTGATCAAAATCAATGAAAAACTTGCGTTTGTATTTCTAAGACACTTTTTGTTGTTTATTTTTTTGCCGTAAAAATCGGCACAATCCGTACAGGGCATTTTCATCTCCTCCCTGTCATACACCAATGATTCATGGTTCTGCTTCCATTTTTCATTAAATTTTGTCTAAGGTCTATTCTTTTTATCCTTTTATTGCTGTTCTGCGCACTTTTCTGACATAGATTTTCGTTTTTTCCCAGGTTTGGCACCTTTAGCGACGCCATTTTGTTATACATGCGGCTTGGATAAAAGCCGGACAGTCGGACCGATCCGGAATAAAAAATTGTCGGACCTGATCAAAATTTATCGGACATGTCCGTCGGACCGACGTATTTCGGGAAGTCTGATATATAGTGTTTTCATTGTTCTATGCATTGTATGTATGTTATAAATTTAACCCGATTGATTAAAATATGTTTTATTGTTTTTTAATTTATTTGCGAGCCTATGTAAATTATAAGTATTTAAAGTGGATTTACTATTCATCTACACCTAGATACAATAAAGTCTTAAAGAATTTACAGTGATTGAACTCTTGTCTTTGTTTTATTATTAATATTTATGGAAACAAAGCCCAGGTAAACATTATGATCACACAAGGATTAAAGATATTTTAAAAGTTAATTCCAGGGTAAGACATTTTAAAGTACATTTGAAATTTTATCCCCTTTAGTTAAAATAAAAACTTTTCATGTCATAGCGAGGTCAACCACCAAACTGCCAGTAACTTGTACGAGTTAAAGAAAGTCTTTACAACAGTTTTGCAGTCAACCCTCGATAGGTAGCAACCTCATTTCATTATACCAACAGACCTATGTTTTATCACTCAAATTTTTATATTTCACCTTCAGCTGTTCAGAAAGCCACAGAGTTCAAAGTTCTATGAATCAAACAAAATGCTAGCATTTAAAATATTGGTGCATTTTAAATTAAATCAACTTATAAAACATCTAGTTGTAATAAAAGTTACTATTGGCTAAAATAACCTTCAAATAAGCCTGAAAAATGAAATGTGAGCAAAAAAAAACCTAGAAATGAGGTGGTGGGGTTAATTTAATAAAATACTTAATTACACTTCGGTAAAATCAAATTAACCCGGTCCTTTTAAACAGAATAAGTATATGAAGAAGTCTTTTAATACCTGAATAAAAAAATCAGAATGTTAATGAACATTTTGTTGCATATGGGCGTGTGAGTTTTATAAGTAGGAAAAACAAAATTTTTGGCTCTATTTTTTATGGACGACTTCATTTCCGGCGTCCCCTACTAAACACTGCTAAGGACCGTAAAAGGGACTTGCTAATTGAGCCTCAAAGGACTACTTAAAGAGGCACAAAGGACCTTAAAAATACCTCCTTAGGCCATTCTTAGTTACATGGTATTATTCTAGTTGAAAAAAAAATTAAATTTTAAGAAAAAATATGATTTTTGGTGAAAATTTATGAGTTCTCGGACCGCTAAAGGAACTGCTCTAGATACAAACAAAGACTGCCTAGGGAGACACAAAAGGACCTTAAAAATACCCTCCTAGGGATTCTTATAATATACAAGTAGTATGTTTTAGTGACAAAAAAATGTTATTATTTTAAGAAAAAATATCATTTTAGTGTATAAAATCATTGTTTTTGAAGAATTGTCGGACCGCCGCTTAATTAAACTGCTCAGGTGCACTTAACTACAACTGCTAGGAGAGGCACAAAGGACCTTCAAATCCCTCCTAGAATTACTATATAATATTATAGTAGTAAGTTGAATAGACAAAAAATGTATATTGTAAGAAAAAAAATTA